TTTAGTCGTAGTAAAATTAACTTGTATTTTTTTAAATGGGAATCATAGATGGCTATGTCATTTTTAGAAAGCATGTTTTTTTCTTATATAAAAAATATATATTTGTAACAAATTATTATAATACATTTTTAGCAAAAAATTATCTTTGATTTTTGTTCGCAGTTGGCCATGAAAAAATGTTGCATCTTCAACTAAAAGGATTTAAACTATATTATTCAACCAGTCTCACTAATGAAAGAGTTTTCTAAGTACTAAGTAACGAAAAAAATGCAAAATAAATCGTAAATCAACTTATTGGAGACTAATAACATTTCGTTGTTTTTAAACAAGCTAACATTACCATTGCAACTTCTAATGATACATAGAGTGTTGTAAAAAAAGCCGCTTTAATTCTTCAATAAAATATATTTTATATGACACAAAAATGACGATATGGCTATTCAAAGACCCAAATTCCGTCTATGTGGAACCTCCATTAGATCATCAAAAAAATGTTTTTTTTAATTGTGTAGACTGCTGACACATTTGTTTTTCCTATTTTTGGATTTCTTAAAAATATGTTATAATTTTGTTCTGAAGCGCTCGCATATTTATTCAATATTTCGTATTTTTTAAATTTTTATAAATTTATATATTTTTTCATCTATTTTACAGTTCACAAAACGAAAAAAAAAACTTTTTAAAATTGCCATAACCGCCTATGATTTCCATTTAAAAAAATAGAAGTTTATCTTATTACGGCTAAACCAATAACTGAAAAAAATTGTTAACTACATTATTAAATTCCTCGTAAAAAAGTGCCTTATAATGTTTTTATTTCAAATCCGTATTTTCCATAATAACGAGGATATGAATTTTTTTAGATTTCGCTAAAATGTCAACTTTTGTCTATAAGTCGAAAACAAAAGACGATAGCGAGATGCGGTTTTCACCAATATTATTTTCTCAAAAAAATGATGCCCAGAATGTATTACTCGTTTTTGGCTAAAACTTTTAGTTTCGGAGATTCCCTATTCGGACATCCAAAATGCAGCACCTTGTATGTACATAGATATGGTTGAATCCGAGGTTGAATCATTTCCCATAGCTGTTTCTTGGTGAATGACTCTTCAAACTGAATACTTTGTCTCTTTAACCAGGTTTGCATTACTTGTTTTTTTGAGGACAATGTAGGTGTTTTTTCTATTTTCATAGAATGATAGGGTGCGTTATCTAATACAATAACACACTTAACATTTAGTGACTGCAATGTGGGAATTAGCTAATTGAAAATTTCGCCGTTCATAGTTTTATGATAATCTTGGTTATTATTACCACTATCTAAGATTAAGTCACATCCAGGTAAAAAACCTTCATCACTTCCAGCACTAAGAATTGTGTATCTCCTACCTTTTATTTGGGATACTTTTCTTATTACTTTCCAACACCCATTGACGTATTTGGCTTCCATTACACCCATGTTTCATTTAAATACACAAACTTTACATTTCCTTTTTCTGCCTCCTTGAGCAATTCTAGATATCTTCCACAAAATTTAATTCTTAGATTTATAATTCTTGTGTTTCAATAAGTATCTTTTGTACATGAACTTTTTTATAACTGTATCCCATAGTTTTTATAATTCTATAAAGAGCAGTTCGACTGTAAGGGAAATCTAGACAATCCTTGCATATTCATAAATAAGTGACACTGTAATATTCTTCCTAATTTTCATAAATATGAAGTCACTTAGTGCTCCTTTGAAAGCATAATCAGAATACAGCGAGACATTTGTTTTCCAGATTTTATCAATGGTAGCAATATTTTTGCCAGATTTTTTTGCTGCCAAAACCCGACTTACTATCTTAATGCTAACCTGAAGCAAATTAATAATAAATTTAGGTATTACCAAATGATTGAAATTATCCTACTTGAAAAATTAATGCCACCCGTTCAACTACGGCAGTGACGTTTGATGAATCTTTTGATAATTCATTGAAGCAGCAAAAAATCGCTTCAAATTCTCTTCGAGTTAAATCACCCATTTTTCACAAATGAATTCTATTCAGTTTAAAACAGGAACAACAAAAAGAAACTGTTATAAGATTTGAGGAGAGGTCGGGAGCTTTGTACTGAAGCACGGTCGAGCTTAGACTAAATTTGTTTACAAAATATGTACAGGATGTTGATGTAACCAATAGTGACTCAGTGTAATCTTGGTTGCATGAACAAGTTGGAATCTGAATGGAAAGTGATTTGATTTGAAAAAGATTTGCCCTTATATTTAAGACTCGTGCCTTAAACTTCTAAATCGTCTTTGCTGAATGATCAGTGGTCATTTTTACAACAAAAGTCTCTTTATTTGCTTTAATTACTACGCAGGTACTCTTTATTTGTTTTAAGTAAACAAACAGTTTTTCTTTATTGTAATTAGAACAAAGAAGGTGCAATTGGACCATTTTTAAACAAAAGAAGAGTTTTAAAACAAATACTTTTATAAAAATGCAATTTTAAGTAATATTAACATGCATTTCTCCTATATGGAGCAATGCTTGATTAGCAAACTATAACTTTAAAAAATCATATCTTGAAAACTAATCTGTATATTTTTTTGAAAATTTGGATTACAACCAATAAAGAGATGCTCTACACGATGGTAGTGATGAAAAAAATTACTCGTAGGGTTTTTCTTAGATTATTTCGATTTACTTCCAACACTGTTCGAAGAAAAGTTTGCCAATATTGAATTTCAAATTGCATATGGCACGTTAATCCCCTTAGAATGGTCTTTATTTGAAGGAAATCGGCCTAATAGTTATTGAGTAATGATTTTTTAAAGTTAAAGTATTTTAAATTCATTTAAATTAGAAAAAAAATATTTTGTTCAAAGTGTGTGGACTTTAAAAAATTTTTTAGTGCATTTGATTTGTCTCACTGAGACGAACAAAATGATACAAAATTTGTCAAGTTGTCAAGACATGACTTTTTTTTTGTCGCCTTGTATAATTTAGGGCCAGGTTCATAATCGAGTTAAAAGAACTTTAAAGTTAATATTGTTTTAGAATGTTCTGATTACCACAAATTTATTGATAAAAATTTCACATTCCAAACCAACATTAATTTTAAAGTCCCTTTAATTCGATTATGAAACTGACACTTATAGTGACTTAACTAAACTTTAGTACAATTTGAAATCTCTTAACTTCTTAGCTGGTAATTTAACATTTCTGCTACATATTTCTAGTATTTAACTTTTGGTTTAACTTTTCATTAATTTCACTTGCGCTAGTTTCATCACTTTTTTCGGTGACGCGATCATTTCAGTTGCACTTGTTTGAGCACTGTCTTCAACGATTACGTCACTTTCAGTTCTTTCGGTTTTACTCGATTGTGAATTATTTTCAACATCACTTTCATACACATAGTTAGATTTATAGCTAGTTTCAGGTTCAGGGGGATTCATATCGTAGTTTGCTGGTTTAATAAAGAATGAATTTCTGATGATGCATCTTCCCATCTCCCTTTCTTAGTCTAAAAGTCCTTTTAGGTTTGGCTTGAAATAATATTTTCATACCTGTTATTAATTCTTTTTGATTCCTTACTTTAGTATTATAGTATTTTTTCATTGTATCCCTGTTCTTGTCTAGTTTAGAGTAGTAATAGATAGTAGTAATAGATAGATCTATTAATGATTTTTGGTTTTAAATTGTTTTCCAACATTGGTAAATTTTCTCTTAAGTTTCATTAGTATTTGAGCCGGTGTAAATGAATGTAGAATTGGGGTATTGCGAAAAGCTAGAAGAGCCAAATTAAGATCTTTTTTGCTTTCAATTGTTTTTATAATTATTTTTTTATTTTTTGAATGGTTCTTTCCGCTTGACCATTTGACTGTTGATGGTATGGAGAGGAGATAATTAATTCAAAATTCCAAGATTTAGTAAAATCTATATATTGTTTGTTGGCTTTTCAATTGTGTTCCACTATCAGACATAACAAGTTTTGGAATTCCATGTCTACCAAAAAAAAATTTTAATTTGTTTATAACGTTTTGTGAGGTGGTGTTTGATTTTAGATTTACTAATTCCGGGTATTTTGAATAGTAATCTACAACTAGTAAATAAGTTTCATTATTAGTGTAAAATATGTACAGTCCGACTGCCATGGTTTTTTGATTATCTCGTGTGGTATGAGAGGTTCTTTTATATTTGCATTGGAGTATTTATTACAAATGTAGCATTTTTTAACTAGATTTTCAATATCTTCAGAGAGACCTTGCCAATAAATAGAATTTATGGCTCTCTCTTGACATTTTTGAATACCTAAATGTCCGATGTGTATGTTTTCTAGAATTTGGGGTCTCATTAATTTTGGAATTATTAGTCTCTGGCCCTAGTATAAAAATTTATTATTTCCTAAGGTAATTTCTGATTTTAATTTGTAATATTGTTTAATTTCTGGGTTAAATTTTTTTATGTTGTTTGGCCAATTATTTTTCACGGAATTTTTTAATATATTTAGGTCTGGGTCAGATTTCGTTTTTGTTATCATTTTGTTTGTGAGATTCTAGATCTAAATTGTCATCATACACTTTTTTAAAACTTGCTCTTGATAAGTTGTCTTCGATTATTAATTCTTTGTCTGGACGATACACTAGGTTAATGTCAAATTTTTGTAAAGTTAATGTTGAGGTTTTGAAATGAAGTTATGGAATTTAGTTAGTAAAAAGATTTGTTTGTATTGAACAGTCTGTACAAGGTGATTCATCGAAGAATAATGAGCCTGAACAAATTCTCGATGCAACCACCATTACTTTTCGCAAGTTGTTTTGCGACAACTGTAATGTTGGTTGCATCAAGAATTTAGTCAGGATCATTATTCCTCGTAAATCATCCTATATAATAGGATGCTGTCCAAATTGTTTCAGAAGTAACTCTCCTGTGACTGACTTTATAATATAAGATAATAGCAATCACTGCTGATTCTAACTCGGTAGAAGGGGCTTTTCGGAGTGAATTTCACAGGTTCAAGAAGAAGATTCCCAATTCGATTATTTTGGATCAGGTAACTTAACAAGGCATTTATTTATGATTGTCATTTGTTTTTATAGCAATCCGGGGAACTCCTTGGCGCATTATGACACTACAGCGGAGGAACGATCAAGAAGCATACTTCCCATGGCCCGAAAATTAATCAAAGATGAAGAGTTGTTGTACAGTACATTTTATTTCATTGTTTTGGCGAAATTTAATAGAATTTATGGAATCAGAGCGTTACTTACTTCACTCTAGAACCGCTTCTAACTGCAACTTCAAGTATGACACATGACAGGATTTTGCACGTTATGCAAAAACAAGGCATCGATCAGGTGCCTATTTTTAATAAAAAAAAAAGGGCTAGCTGTCTCCATGAGGTCAAAATTTAAAATTAATTAGTCAGTTTTAGAGGAATGTTGAGTTTGGTCACTACTGCCTTGATTAGCGGAAATGTTAGACCCATTGACTCAATATAGACAAGACTTCCGTTACTGGTTTTCCTAAAGTGTTCCAAAATGCGACCGTAAGGCTTGTCTCCAGAGTTTTAAAACGTGAAAACTACATTCTAGTTTTAAAAAATAAAGTAAGTATTGTTTATATCGATTTTAAATGTAATTTATTGATAAATATTTTTGCAGGTAATAGACAATCAACAATTGAAAAATCCATCGGAATTATTACAACAGTTGATCTCTTACGGTGGCGGTCATTGAAAAGGTAATACACGGGATTTTGACACATCCTCTCAAAATTTAAAAAATTGCATAATTAATTTTTTCTTTGTCGTGAGTGTCATTGTCACTGAAGACGTCACTTTTGACAAATTGTCGAATGTACAGAAATATATTATTATTACAAGATTAAGGGATAATGTCCCTCTACGAGTCATCGCAGAAGAAATAAATGTGAACAAAATGACTGTCCTTAAAACAAAGAAGAATATTCTAGTGACATTTTAAACATGACAGTGATTGTCAATTTCAAGGGAAAATTTACAACGCCAAAATTTTTTTATTTGTCAAGTGTATTACTTTTCAATGGCCGCGACTGTACCAGTGATGCCAGATTAGGGATTTTTTCCCTAGATCTAGGGATTTTTCTAACAAAAAGGGAAAAAGGGATTTGTTTCAATTTTTCTTAATAATTTAGGGATTTTTTACATTTTCAGTGAAAATCTCAATTTTTTTCACACTGCTGGCACAGTTTCAAAAATTACAACAATTTTTAATATGAATATTGTAACTTCGCCACGTTAGCGCATTTGTATATGAGTTTAGCACATAGTAACGCGGAAACCAAAAATGTATTTTCTATAGTTACATGAGTAAAGACAAAAAAAAAACAAGATAGGAAGTGCACTAAAAGCTGTTTGCGTTGCCAAGTTTACTAATTATTGCAGTTCATTTAATGTTTTAGACGAATATTTAAAATTAATGAAATCCCATAATTTATAAATATAAATCTAAATTAAGTAGGTATCTAAATATACACGTTTATTTGAATTTGTTTTAATTGACTTGTATTTTATTTTTTTATTTCTTTAGTAAAATTTATTTTAATTTATTGTTATATTATTTATTGATTTTTTGTTGTTTGGAGTTATCATATTTTTATGTTGTATTTATATTATATTACCTCAACAAAAAAAGGCCTACGAAATAGTATCTTTTTAATTTTTTAAGTAGTTTAGGGAATTTAGAAGCTACAGTTCAGTGCTACAATCTAGGGACAAGCGCTTCATCTCATCTGGCATCACTGGACTGTACATCAGCACAGAACAACAGTGATAAATGGTACAACAGTTACATCTCATTTTTATAAATAAACCTCAATAAACCTGTGCTCAATAAAGAATAAAAGAATTCTATTTGAATAAACTTTTTTACATCCTAAGAACTTGTATGTGGAATTACCGTCCACTTCGGCTCACGAAGAAGTAATTAATTACTCAGAAGTAAAATGTAAAAATTCAAAAAGTGTATCATCTGACATTTTTAGGTTAGAATGGTTTTTGACATCTGTCAACAACAAAAACATCACTAAAAATGTGGAATATACCGCGATATAAATTTTCTAAAGAATCTGAACCGTCTTTAATTAATTTTATAAAAGTGGCAAGAGAACAAGTGACACAAAACCGAAACTGTGATTTGAAAAATTACGTTTTATGGAAAACGAAATTACCTTTGGTAAAAACAAAATATTTGATCTCTTTGTACCTATTATTAAACTTTCAGGATCCTCATCTGAAACCAAAGGTAGAATGTGACAATGAAAATACTACACAGCAAGATCCACCAACGATTAACTTATGCTCAGATGAAGAAATGGAAGAAACAGTTTCTTTACCACTAAGTGAATCTAAAATAGTTGAAACTTCTAATAAAAGTACCCTAAATGACATTGCTTATACCATTCAAGACAACGTAGAAACCGAAAATGATTTACCAGAAAATGTTAGGGAGTATCTCACAAAATGTACCAACACAGCTTTGGAAATGATATTCCAAATTTTGGACGAAAATCTTACAAGTGAAGGAATTTATTATTTGGGAGTTTCAATACAAAATACTATTTCTAGAAATTTAATTAGATTATTTTGTCACCATTTGTTGATCCCACTGGTATTTATTTATAGCAGTTTGGTAACAACATGTTTATATCGTTTTTTAGATCAAGAAAACATATTGTGACAAAATTGTGAATTTATTAGAACAGTTTAGTTTAAAATATCCAACTATATTAAATGAGGAATGTCTTATACTTGTCCAGTCTTTAGAACAACATGAAAGTGAGATTTGTTTACAATATATGAAGAAGTTAAATGTAATCTTTCAAACTGTTTTAGTCAGGTAAACAAATTATTTTTTTATTCTCGCTAACTAAATAATGATTCATAGGGATTTTATATTTTCAATTGAAACACTGACCAAGAATTACATAATTTTAATTGATAACTTATTAAATAATCAGGTGGAGTATGAGGCCTTAAGTAAGTTAGTTCAATTGTTATCCAACAGTTGCGAAGATCATCACAATGATAAGCCTTTTGGTAAATTGTTAATGCATACAATTGATGTCTTGGGCCCCAATTTGGTCCGTGTTGAGCAAGCCCTGAAACACATAATTGCCGGTCACAAATCTATCTGGAAAACAAAACTAGAAAAAGCTTTTAAAACGAGTTATGAAGACAGTTTGTTATTTTCGCAGAGTTTCCGAGATTAGAAATAGAGTCGATTTAGCAAATTGTATTTTTTCTGTCAACATTAGAGCCCCCTCATGTGATGCTCCATCCACAGAAGAGTAAAGCCTAGAGATGGGCAAAAATATCGATGTTTTTCAAACATCGAATATTGGTCAAATACATCGAGTTAAAAATGTATAAGTATTTTTTTAAATATCGATGTTTTTTACTGAACTCGTATTAATAGAACTGCCTTAGGAATTGGTTTGTTTGTAACATACATAACCTCTGCAAGTGTTTACAAGAGACAAGGCTTGTGATTGGTCGATTCCTATTGTTTTTGACAGTCGACAACTGTCACATTTTCTGATCGTAATTTTTCCAATTTTTAAGTGTGTTTTGTACTGTTTTTACAATAAAACACTATGGTTAATTCTTATGTAGTGTGCAGAATCCGCAAAATCTTCGATTTCTTTACACAAGTAAGTAAACTCACAATTTGTAAACAATACATAGGCGTAGGTTTATAAGGAGCAAATTTTTGCCATGAATTATAGCTTTGAAATTTTTAAATTTGGTTTCGTTTTATTAAAATTTTTCACGAAGATGTATATTACTTGTAATTTTACATTTGTTTTTTATAGGTTACCCACAGGTGAAACTTTGGAGACGGGAGTGGATCAATGCTTTGGGATTAGGAGATTTCGTTTTGACATATACATATGTTTGCTCAAAACCCTTTTTTTACATAATAAATGTATTTCCTAATTTAATTACGTCCTAATAAACGTCACCTTTTTTAATTACAAAACGAGCCGCCACTGGTACGGTGGGCAAAGTAAACAAAATGCATGGGATTTTATAGGTTATGTATGCTTCACACAATCTATACAAGCTCAGCATAGGAAGCCATTCCTATTAATACGAGTTCAATGATGTTTTTACTTCGATACATCGAAATTGGTTCAGTTAATTATTTTTAATTATCTTTATTTTTTTTAGTTTTAAAATTTCATTCGATTAAATTTAAATTCGATGTATGGAGAATTCGACTAACAAAATTAACGATGATGAAGTGATGTAGATGGTTAAGTTTCAAGATTTTTTAAGTTTTGTGTTTGTATTTGTTTGTTTTATGCAAGAATTGTAAGAAATATGTTTGTATTTGTATTTTTTATGTTCCAAAAATTTATTATTAAAAAAATTGGTAAATGATTTTTTTTTCAATAAAAAACATCGATTTTTTTTAAGTATCGATGTTTTGTGGCGATATATGTATATTACATGGATGATTTCTTATTCGATCATCGATGGCAGAGAACATCGATATATATTTTTCGATGTTTCCATCTCCTGTAACTCAGTATTGGCAACATGGTACATTTTTCTCCATTTTGTAGTGTTTTTTTTAGCAAAAGTTTTCAACACTGTTTAATTAGTTTGAAACTGAAATAAACCTCGACTCTGGTAAGACTTATTATATATTATATTATTATTATAAAAAAAATGTATACAATCAAAAAAGTTTCAAAAATTTTGTTTTAATTTTGGGGATTTTCAAATGCCATAGTTGGACGGTTGGCCACGCTGTTTATACCTGTGAAAACAACAATGGCGGCCGTGTCTTACTGCGGTCCGAAGGTAATTTAAAGATGAGTTTAAATTTAAGTTGCGCGGTGTGCGGAACGAAGACAAATTTGCTCCGTTGTGCTCGTTGTAAAACGCGTATTTATTGTACGAAGGAACACCAACGCAAAGACTGGCCCAACCACCGTGGAGAGTGTGCCCAACTCGCCCTAGCCCTTGAGAAACAGTCGCCGAAAAGTGGTGAAAGCAACATTCTGAATTCACTTTCGGAAGACTTGAGCCCCCACTTGGACTTCGACAAGACTTCAACGGAGAAGGCTTTGAAATCGGCCAAGACAGCCATGCCCATAAGCGGCGAAAACATCGTTCATCCTAAGAAGTCCGTGGTGAAGGACTTTCCGGAAATATCCTTCCAGCAGAACCCGTGGAGCGCCAAGGGCCACCGGAAGGATTTAGACGAGATTTGCAGGAATGTGATTAAGGATATGGACGAGTATGGGGTTTGTGTAGTGGATAATTTCCTGGGGGAGGAAAAGGGCAAAGCTGTGTTAAAAGAAGTCCTGCAGTTGTACGATAAAGGTGTCTTTAGAGATGGACAGTTGGTTTCCAGTCGGGGGACCGGGGATTTGAAGACGATACGAGGGGACCAAATCATTTGGATCGATGGAAAAGAAAAATCTTGCAATAATATTCAACAGTTGATCAGCCAAGTTGATGCTGTGGTCATGCGGGCTAACAGAATGTCCAATAATGGCAAAATGGGAATGTACAATATAAACGGCAGGACTAAGGTTAGTTTCAAGCCCCCAAAAGCCCCGATTTTATTGATATTGATCGCGAACATTGTCGCCTATGTTTATAAACAAAACAGTGCTGATAGTAAACACAAAACAGTGTTGTCTCTGTCTAATCCATGACTACGCCGTATTTCCATCTCTCTAAAATGAGACAGGTTGCGGCATGCGGACAGTCACGTACGCAAAAATTCTGTTTGCTTTTTCCCCACAAAATGCGAATTGTTTTAGATTAGATACATTTTGGAAAAGTGTCGGAAGAGTTTTCGCGGGCGATGGATCGAACAGCGGCCACCTTTAAACTGAAAAGCAAAACAACTAATTTGTCATTATTTAAACATTAGGACTGGCGACATATGATCATTAATTCAAATTTTTTGTGAAAAACGATCAGGGGTCAATCGTTTTATCGGTCTGATGGAATTTTTGCGGTTGACATTGTGAAAAAACGCTTTTTGTACGTCCAAAATAGTATCATAATTATTTGTTTCGCAATGACATCAAGACATCTGGTTTATTAATAACTAATGTGAGCGTCAAAGTTGTCATAATTGTCTATGGTCACTAGAACCGGAAGTGTAATTTACTAAATTTGTTTAATTTGAATTTAATTGCTGAAATAGGTGTTAATATGTTTTCTTATTCATAAAATAGGAATTGAAAAATTCATTTCATAAAACACGTCACTCAGTTCCTTGAAAACAAAAGGCGTTGTATTTTTTATTTAATCTATTGGGACCAAAAATTGCAATGCTGAACCGGTTTAGGGTACGAAATTTGTGTGTTGGCCTTCAATACAAGTTATTTTTTTGTCATTGAATAGCTGTTTGCACGCATGTATAAAATTATATTTTTTCAGGTAAATGGTGTAAACTTTTTTTACTTAAAATTTCAAGGATTTTATTTGACCAGTAAAAAGCTGTAAGCTGTTTTGTAAGGTTACAGTTATATGCTACAACGAAAATGTTAAGTAACATACGCTGTACTGGTATAAAGGTATAGTAAAGGAGTGTCAAAAATGTAAATCTACAAATTTATAAAACACAATTCGTAGAAAATGTAGTAAGACATGTAATCGAACTTTTCAATGAATGGCTTAACGTTATCATTTTTAAAATATTTTACAATAAAATTGTGTTTATAAATACCTAAAAAAATACGTGGTATGATAGTTCTGATCCCGATAAAAACGTACATATTTTTAGAAGGAAAAAATGTAGAAATCGCTTTGTAGATAAGTGAAAAATGTTATTTATTAGAATTCGAATTATAATAAAAACATTTCATAACGTGAAAACGGAACTAAATCATTTTATTATTAAGTTGTGTACACTGTACATAAAACAAGATATTGACTTTTATTTGTTTTGTCATGTTCTAAGGTTTATTACGAGAATGTAAATCACACAAACCTTCAGAAAGTCAACACATTTACAAGTAAAATATTTTTATTACAAATTTTGCATTTCATTTATTATATTCTCAGAATACTTAAAACATACATACAGGATGAATATAAAGTATGGAACCCAGCGGTTTTATTTTTAATCATTTGCCTCTAGAAATTAATAATTAATATAAATTAGAGTAATATAAAAAATGTGATCGTATTTTCAGAACGAAATTTTGTTTTGTTTTCGAGTTATGCGATTTTTTTTGTCAAAATTGCAATTTATGTGAAAAAATTTTTTTGAAAAAGTTAAATATAAAGTAGATAGTTGTAATCCTTAGAGTATAGCTTTTATGAGAAAAATGATTTTATAGTGGGTTGCCATTTAAAAAAAAAATCTTTTTTTTTGTAGAACTCAAAAACAAAAGGAAATTTCGAAAAATTTTATTCTTGTTAAATCATCACATTTTTATTGTACTTTAACACTCATCAATTAGTTTTTTAAAAAAATAAATAGTTTAAGCAAAAAACGTTTGGTTCCATACTTTTTATTCACCTGGTATTTTGTGTAAAATACAGCGTATCTAGATTTTTTAAATCTACAACAACCTTCAAGAGAGAAGACACAAGCACCGATTGGTTAAATACTTTTTCCCAGAAATATTCAATTCAATTATATTCATGAAATTATGTGTATCTATACAGGGTGCGCCAGAACTCGTGCCCCAGAGAAAAATAATAAAATATAAGGTAAGACACCAGGAACATGGAAAAAATGTTAAAAAAATTTTATCTAAAAAATTTCGAAGTTATGAGGGTATAAAGTTTGCATTTTGACTTATTTATTTCTGTTGGAAAAATAATGTTTCAAGTTTTTTTGATATAGGCTATTAAAAAAAGAAACAATATTATTTGTGGCTTTTATTGACAAAATTTTTGTACCTTTACTAAATAATTGTAAAAAAAAACGTATATAGACATAACAAAATGTCAAATGTCAAAAAATAAATGTCACAATTTTTTGACAGATAGAATTTTTTAAATATTTTTTTCATGTTCCTGGTATTTTACCGTACTTGAAAATTTTCTCTAGGGGCGAGTTGTAGCGCACCCTGTATAAGGTACAAAGACACGTAGTGTAGAACCAACATTAATTAAGAAAATCTCTTTTCCCACAGAATTATTTGATTGAATTAATGAATTGTAAAACAAGTTTGATAAAAATAACAAGAAATTATTCATGGGTGGTCTCTTTATTAATGACGCGATTTACTTAATTAGATTTTATCGTAAATAATCGCTATTTCCAAAAGAAGAAAATTGCCCTTTTTATAGTTTATCATTTTAATCACCAGCAATTATTATTACTAGAGGTCAAGGTTTTCAAGTTAGGACATCACAAATAAATGTAACAATTTAATCAAATTCCGATTACAATTTTTTATGTTTTCCTAAAGGAAATAAATGACTGCACTTGTGATGAAACACAATAGATCTGCGATAAAGTAAAACTTTTGTTATTGCAATTATCTAAAGTGAAATAAAGGTGCGCCCTAAATTTTTGCGAGCCGAAACGCACGTAGGCTCTAGCAAAAACGGTCGGGTCAACATTTTATGGTAATTTCCGTCGCAAAAATGTAGAATTTTAATGAAAGTAGCGGAATTTTTGGTAGTTTCTCTAGCGGTCTATGAGTGAATTTATGTTTTGACCCTTTTAATATGTTTTTTCGTCGCTAACTGAACGGTGTTCTTGCATTTATAAAAACGTAGGAGTTTTGTTTTTTTTTAAGTTTTGCTTTTGTAATGATAATAATAATAAATAGAAATGTCTCATGTTTAGAATAATATGTGTAATTGTGTTCTGAAAATAATAGATTTATCACCAAATGAATTGTATCGTCATCTTATTCTTATTATGATGTATCTCTTACTCGTATACATAGGGTGTTCCGTAGCCATAAACCATTAAGTCCTCGTAAATGAAAATATTTTCAAGATGGCGGCACTTCCGGTTATACCGGACGTCGGTCTCAACTTTTTTATTTTAAATAGAAAGGTTTTTTACTGCGTTTTTGGATTAATCATGTTATTTTAAGGGAGTTTTTATCAGCCTTCTCTATACCTAAATTTAGCCGTTTTAAATATTTGGAGTTTTTCAAAAAATTTTGGATCTGCACCTTCTACTTTAAAAATCGGTAACTCAGCCATTTTTTGAGATTTTGAATTCGTTTTTTTTTTTTGGCGTTTGGAAGAGAAAGCTTAGATCCTTTTTCTGGTGTTTTCAAATTTTGAAAAAAAACATATTCCAAAATTTTAAGATTACTTTTGTAATAATTCAAATACTCATAACTCAATTTTTTCAAGTGAAATACCCCAATTTTTATTTTACCAAATAGAAGAGAATTTAATTGTACATTGATCTGTATTAACATTCCTTAGATCTAAATTTAATAATTTTCAAGTTATGGACTTTTTTTAAGACTACAGAAAATGTATTACTAGCCACACCCGTTTTCACATAGTTTGCTATGAAAATCAAAAATGTCAAAATTTTCTCTAAACAAACGTCAACAGTAAATTACTATTTGACAAATAATGCCAAAATATGAAAAATCAAAGTTATGCAAACTTAATTGTTATTGATAGGTTCTACCATGAGATCATTATTTAAAGCTAACAAGTGAGAAAAATTTATTTTTGTTTAATGAACGACATCATAATTTTGTTACACTCTCCATAAATACAAAGTAGATTCATTAAATCTAAGTTTGAGTAGCTTTGACTCTCCATATTTTGGCACTATTTGTCAAATAATAAGTCACTGTCGACGTTTATTGAGAAACAATTTGAATATTTTTTTTTTACGAAAACGTAATAGATTTTTGAGTCTTAAAAAAAGACACCATAACTTAAAAAATATTAAAGTTAGGTATAGGGAATGTTAATACAGATCAATGCAGAATTAAATTCTCTTCCATTTAATAAAATAAAAATTGGGGTATTTCATTTAGAAAAATTGAGTTATGGGTATTTGAATTATTACAAAAGTAACCTTAAAATTAAAAAAAGGGTTTCTTACTTTTTTTTTTAAATTTGAAAACACAGGAAGAAAGATCTAAGCTTTCTCTTTCAAACACCAAAAAACGAATTCAAAATTTTTAAAAAGAGCAGAGTTACCGATTTGTGGAAGTGGAAGGTGCAGATCCAAAAATTTTTGAAAAACTCCAAATATTTCAAAAACGGTTAAATTTAGGTATAGGGAAAGCTGATGAAAATTCCCTTAAAATAACCCGATTAATCCAAAAACGCAGTAAAAAATATATCTTTCCATTTAAAATAAGAAAGTTGAGACCGACTTCCGGTATAACCGGAAGTGCCGCCATCTTGAAAATATTTTCATTTAGGAGGACTTATGCATTACGGCTATGTACCAATTTTCAAACAAATATGATTATTCGAACTCCCATGTGGATGTTATTTATGTAAATACAATGTGTATTATGTAATTAAATTTTCGAGTGTCATAAATTTATAGATAATTTTGAAACAGATCGGCTGTACCAACTTGGTGACAAATATATTATTTTGAGAACAAGTGATTTATTTGGTGACCGATAAAAATTACTCCATTTCTAAATGAAAATGTTTTTCTAGGCGATGGTGGCCTGTTACCCCGGTTTAGGATCACACTACGTCAAACACGTCGACAACCCAAATCAAGACGGCCGTTGTATAACGGCCATATACTACCTCAATTTAAATTGGAAAGTTAGGGAAAATGGTGGTTTGTTACGAATTTTCCCAGAAGGGTGGTTAGGTGATAAGGTATTAAAATAGGTCATTGGTAAACCAAGTTTGATTAAATTTGTTTTTCGTTGTAGGTAGCTGATATAGAACCAATTTTCGATCGTCTTTTATTCTTCTGGTCTGACAGGAGAAATCCACACGAAGTTCAACCCGCCTATGACACGAGATATGCAATAACGTTGTGGTATTTCGACGCTAGAGAACGAGCAGAAGCATGTCGAAGATATGAAAAAGAACGTTAGTTTTTTGTTTTGATTTAATTTCAAGTTTTGATTTTGCTTGTTTTAGGACATTCATAGCGTTTGAAAATTTTATCGTGCCACTAACGATCAACTGTGTCCGTTTTGACAAACAAACCTAGTACTATGTGATATTTATAGTTTGTTGGAAGCTGGTAACAGTTGTGTACTATTATTGTATATATTGTGTATTTTACCGAAAACTAAACTTTTTTTATTTATGTTTGACAGTGTGATATTTTCTTCTGATTCAAGTCAAATTGAAATTCTTTAATACGTATTCATTTAGGCGGTATTACAATAGGTTTATTTAATTCATTTATCGCTGAAGCGACTATTTTAATGTAAATAGTGTAAAAGTAATTTTCAAGTGTACAATTTAGATTATGTTTGAAACCTAACTAATAAATTTATATACTATTTAAGGTTTTCACAATAGACAGTCCTCAATTTTATCGGTTGCAGGATAATACGCCTTGAACTGGAAGCCACTTTCACAAAATGAGCCCTAAAACAAAGATTTTATAAATCACATATCTCATATTTACATGACCTACAGGGTTTATTAGTTGGCACCCTTTGTATTTCCCTTCATAAGGTTCGGCCTTGTCTCCGATGACAATTAAGTCAGGAAGAGGATTTAAACTTAGAGTGTAATCAAAATCCCAGTGAACTGTCAAAGCATTTAGGGGCAAGGGTGACAAATGCCCTTGACTGATTATAGTTCTTGTGAGCTGTAACAAATTTTATTATTTTTTATGTATAATCGAGTTAATGTTTTACATTATCGGCCAATTCGCTCTTTTTCGGCTTATGCAACGACGCTTGTAACAATTTTGAGAGAATCTCAGCCCTAAAAATCGTAATTTCCTTACTGCAATATTGCAAACGACACGGATTTGATGTAAAAACAGCGTTTTTCAACATTTTCGTTATGTCTTCAGTGACGCAAGTTAGGATCGGCAATCTAGAACACATTATTAAAAATAAAAAAAGAATTTGGAGACTTTCACCTTGGCACGACGTAGGAAGTGCAAGGATCTTCCAAACCCGGCACAAAAATAAAATTACTAACAGTGGCCAATTTCTGGTATTTGTTGATTAATTCAGCTAATTGTTTAAAGAGTTTTTTCAAAGTGTTAAATCTTTTGGTTCTGCAACACGTTGACATGAAATTTCCCATGAAGACGAACGCCACTGGCGGGTTGGGATTAAAACCCTTAAATAGCAGTTCGAGTTTTTCGAAAATCTGAAATCCGAATTAAGGTACTTGAATTTTTTTTATTTTTTATTACAGCAGGATGGTCGAGCCAAACATTTGAGAGAAACATGAACGAAGCGCCTCGATTTTTTTCCAAATGTTCGCGTAATTTCACTGAGTCTTTGAGTGGGGTTGAAGATGGGCCCCCAAAGTAGTTTATGGTGTTGAAAAAGGGGCGTGAATCGGTATATTCCTCACCTGGGGGGAGGATTATTGTTGAGACTTTTATTACCCCGTCCTCGTAGTGCCCATTTACTAGCACGAAACAGTTTTCAGCAAATAAACCCCCATAATATCTAAATAAAAAATAAATACTACAGATACAAAAAAATACTTGGGGCTTACACAGCATGGCTTAGGTCCAACTGGACAATTCCTGTGGGGTCCTCTAAGTAATATTTGCCTTCAGAAACTTGGAACAACGATCCTAATATTAGTGTATGATTTAGTGAAATATTGGAAAGTGTTAACAAATAATCAACAGTTTGCAATTCTAGTTTAATATTTGCATTTTCTGTTGATTTTTGTACAAAATTTCTTTTGGTCCTATATAGAATAGCAGTATATCTGTCTGCAAAAAGCTGCGGTTTGGAATCAGCAGAAGAAAATAGCCTTGGTTTACGTTCACTTAAAAAATACTGTTTTCTATCAATATTGAATGAAACTTTTGGAAAATCAAAAGCATTTATAACACTGAAAATAGTTTCGTTTCTGTCGCATCCAGACTTTACACAAACCTAAAATCACTCATGTAAAACAATATTTATCAAAATTTTCATTCAAAAACCACCTCTAAAACCCTCTCAATGTGCTCCTTGTCAATACTGTGCCCCAAAATGCATTGATTTTCTAAACTGTTACACACACTTTCAACACATTTATCAAACTCGCATTTGTCTCCCAAATCAATGTCTTCCTTTAGAAACTTTGCGACAATTTTACCACAAAACTCCCTGTAAATCACAGTTTTTGCAGATTCTTATTTGTAAAAGAATATAAATACCTACCGCCGAACATTGAATCCCCCCAATTTTAAAGCTGTCTGCAGCTTCTTTTTAACTTGTTCAATGTCCATTACCGTAATTATTACTAAAGCTTAAATATTAGAAATTTTGTACATTACTTAACCTATAATTATTTCCCGCCTAAAATTTTATTGACGTTGTTGGTCCCGTGTTGGAGAAAATGTGGAAGAGCGAAAAAGATTAAAAATCTATTATTTCTTGTCTAAATTATTTTTTATATTGCTTTTTGACCTGTTAAATATCTATACTTCTATTATTTGGGTTAATAAATGCAAAAAAAAATTCATTAATTCTTATTTTATTGAAGATAGGTATGCAACTAGCAATACACAACATTAATTAATTTAAAATACACATTAAAAAATTAATTTTATTTGAATAATATTTTATGATAACTTTATTTGTTTTAAATACACAAAAATATAATTTTGCAAGTTACATTATTGTCTGCGTTCATTTTTAAGGTTAGGCTTTTCAATCATTCGATCTTATACAACTTCTACTTCCAAGGTTGGCATTTTGACATTTCTAAAGAGTTTGGTTAATTTATATTATTGTGTTTTGTGTTAATTTACATTTTATTTATTATTGTAACAGTTATGTGCACTCTAGAAAATCCTGCAGTCATAAACATATCAATTTCCGATTATATTTTAACTCCGGCCTCTTGTGCTTCCTTAGTAAACGAGGTTATGAAGAACCTTCTGTATCAAAGGGCCCAAATCCCTTATCCCTACGCTTGGCTCAAGAACATCGTCAAGAAGAAACGCAAAAGTCTTGAAGAAGGAGAAGAAGAAAATAAGAACAATTTTACACTTAGTAAACATTACCAGACTGTTTCAACAGCGTATGATGCTGTTGAAAATATCACCTCAAACATAGTCAAGTGTTTTACTGGTTTGGGGGATAATTTGAAGGAAGTAATTTTTGTAATCGGTGTGACACCTGTATGCCCTAAAGAGGTATTCACAGTAAAAGCATCATCGCTTGCTTTAGGCCACGTTGAGGGAAATCATGTGATGGAAAATAGTAGAAGACAGTCAAGGATATTGAGGTAAAACATACTTTTTGTATAACAATGCTAAAGTTTTTTATTTTTTATAGGAGTATATTTTTGGAAGAGGTATGGATGAATTTAGTGGAGAATTCTTTACCTTGTTGTAACACATACATTTTTTTAAGAATTGAAGGATCTGAAAAGAATCTAAGTAATGTGTGTAATGATAGCATATTTATACCATCGAAACCTTTGTTAGTTTCAAATAAGATAAAACAAACTGTTATTAACTTTAATTATGTAAATTCTCAAGTATTTTCATGCTGTGATAAAATGGAAGTTTTTAAAGACACTTGTGATGTAGAAAATTCAGAAAAATGTGAGCGTAATTTTAATTTTAATCAGAAAGAAAAAAGTACAGAGAATAAGGAAATGTGGCTACAGTCAACGATTCTAGTTCGTGGTTTTAAAGACTGTTTTATAAATAAAGTATCAGCTTCAGAGTTATGGTAAATTATTATTAGGTAAAGTAAGAAATGGACAATTTTTTTATGCAATGTATTTTTAAATAAAGCAAATATACCTATGTTTTTATTTAAAATGCTTCTTATTCACCTGTCTAACATTTTATTTGTTTTTGTAAAATTAAATGAATACTATACAGGGTGTAACGAACACATTGGGACAAAGAGTTACCTGAGATTCTTCAAGTTAAAATAAAGTGATTTAACCCAACTTACCTCTATATCAAGTTGCACCATTTAAAAGTTTACAGGACGCCAATGAAATTATAATTTTTGTTTTAATTAATAAGTAATTACATTATTGTTAAAAAAATGAAAACCTAAAATTTTTTAATACAAATTTAAAATCAATAATAAATGGCCAACCTTCGAAATTTTGCTTAAATTATTTTTTACTCTAAAACCAAGGCCAATACAAAAATTTTGTAAAATACAAAAATTGTGTAGAAATAATGTACCTTTTGAATATAAGAAGAATTGCGCCACTCGGATTACGTATAATAAAAATATGGTTTAATAAATACATACTCGTACACTTGAGTGCAAAAAAAACGCAAATTGTCAAAAACAACATTGTCAAATTTTTCAAAGATTTCCATAGTGTGAAAAGGGTTGTTCCCAAAAAGGTTAGAAAACTATCAAAAGAAGTGTCTTGTCAGTGTAGTGTCATAGTCAGTGTTAAAAACGAAATGGAAAGACATGGAAAAACTTGATAGAAGTTTGGGAGATGCCTGACAATTATGAAATTGTGAATTGTGACAAAGACAATGTCAAAAAACTGGCATTTATTAACAGGCCAAATTACTTTATAAAAAAAAATAGTTTGCATTTTTTTTTGCACTCAAGTGTATGTGTTAAGTTGTTAATAGTGAATGAAATTAAAACAAAAGAAATATCACCGAAACATGTGGTTTTGATATCAAATTGCCTGTAGCAAATTTCATAAAAATCGATTACTCCATTAAAAAGTTAATAAAGAAAAACGAAAATAATTTTTAAGCTTTGGCCCTCTCTATTTTTTAAACAGTGCAGCTTGGTATAGAGGTAGAGGTCAAGGGATCATAGAAGGATATCGATAGATGGAGCCAATGCGTGCGTACTCGGTGTAATGGGGAAACTACAAGTGATATTAATTTTTGTATAAATAAGTTTTTTGCTATAAAACTAATAATAGTTACTTATTCAATCCTCTATGTTAAAATTTAATTTTATCTACTCTTTTCTTCATGTTAAAATGAAATTTTATCGTCTAGATGATAAAAAAAAATACATCTATTGTTGTATATCTGCGGTTGTTAGTTGCCAACGATCTTTGACATTAGATTTCATTGTTGAATTTTACTTTGAGATTTATAAACATCGACCAAATTGACTACAAAATTAGTGAGGATTGAATAAAATTTTATATTGTACACGATGATAAAATTTTCATTATCTAATGTTTCGTTTTACTTTGTAGTCACCTACCAGAATTTCTTGAATATGAACAGTAGATAAAAAGTACTGTATTTCACTGTTAGGCGATAAAAGACTACTTTATCTACTGAAATTAGTTGATAAAATATAAACAGTAGATACAAATTACTTTATTTCACTAGACGATAAAAGACTACTTTATTTACTGAAGTTAGTTGATAAAAGCACTCTTCAACATTGAGTACAAAATAAAATATGTTTACTATTCTTATAGTTAATGGTAAAGATGTTAATGCAATGGTATACCTACATTTTGATAAGTACATATTTAATTTAATTTAAAATTTGTGTTTTTTTCCATAATATAATGTACTTATGTAATAAAAATATGTATAGGATCATCTGCAGTTCAACTTGTACACAGTAAAAACTAATTAAAATCTTGTGGTTTGGAAATGGACTTTATTTTTAAATATTTTGAATCTTTTTGGACAATTTCTAATAACTTTCAAATGGTTACTGAGTAAGTATTGCAATTTATAAAAGAACAAAATTAAAATATTTTTATTACTGTACTTAGAATATTTGTTTTGTTCAAATAAATAAGTGCGAATACACGCCACTATACAGCCCCTATACAGGCTGCGCCAGAACTCGCGCCCCAGAGAAAAATGTCATATGAGGAACTTGGAAAAAATTTAAAAAAAATTATCTATAAAAATTTCGAAGTTATGAGGGTTTAAATCTTGCACTTTGATTCTATTTATTTCTGTTAGAAAAATAATTTTCTAAGTTTTTTTGCTATAGGCTATTAAATGTGGAAACAAGAAGGAAGTTGTATCCTAAATTGTAATTCTATTCAATGTTATTTGTGGCTTTTATTGGCAAAATTTTTGTACCTTTACTAAATAATTGTAAAAAAAACATATACAAGATCACCAGTATCATTAAATAGACATAAAAAATGTCGAATGTCAAAAAATAAATGTCAATTTTTTTTGACAGATAGAATTTTTTAAACATCTTTTTTATGTTCCTGGTATCTTATGTTACTTGAAAATTTTCTGTGGGGCGCAAGTTCTGGCGCACCCTGTATTTACAAATGGATTCCTCCGCGATCAGTTTTCGTCTCTGTGCATCCCTTCCATCGATATCCTTCTACGATTCTCTGACCTCTAAGTTGTTTAAATCACTTTATTTTGACCTGGAAAATTTCAGGTTACTCTTTGTCCCCATCTTTTCGTTACACCCTGTATAATACATAAATGAAATATTACACAACAGTTTTATTAAAGAGCGTGACCTTTACTGTTTTTATCGTCATTCATTTATAGAAACTCAATTCGCCGAAATTAAGACCACCCACGTTGAAATATGATGTTAAGTAATTAATGTATAAATAATACTATTCCAAAAAATTAAAGAAACAAAAAAATTTCCTAAATTTTTTGGTGATTTTTGACAGGCTATAAATGGTCGTATTCTTCTTTTCATATTAATGTGCCTCAAGTAGGTTGTAGAGGTCTAAATGAATCTTTACTTTAAAGGCCGATTTACACAAAAAGTGTCATTAATGTCAGAACAAATTTAATTACATCAATAATGACAAATAAATTTATGTTTGCTATTCTATGTTAATTACGTTGTTAATTTTAATCATTGTTGGCTACTTGGGGTACACATTTATTTAAAAAAATTATTTTTGGGTAAGATTGAGTTTAGGATTGTTTGAATTTTAGCATGGTTGCCACCTTAAAGTGATCCCTTTCAACGACTACTACGATGCACATTAATATGAAAACGATTATATCTAGATTAAACAAAAAAAACTATTTTGAAGCTTTAAGAGTCTAGTTTTGAGATCTTTTGGCAATTTTTTTTTCTGTGCTATGGTTATCACGTAATCTTAAGTAATAGTGCGAGAAAAAGAAATTCTAAATTTTTTTTTTTTACTTTTGGTCCACGCACGTGGATTTCTCGGACCGATTGATTAAACTTCTGCAAAAGAATTAAATGAACAATTGCACATATTGTTTCTGAACATTGCCTAATCTTCATGAAAATGAAAAAAACATTTTTTTTGACTTTCTTACAATTTTGCATTCGTTATTTGCTTAAAGTAAAAAAAAATAAACAAAAGTTGTTTTTTGATTATTTTTTTGAAAATTTGTAAAACATTTAAGAAACAATACTGCTTAATTTTTGAAAAAAAATTCAAAAATATGTTTTAGGTTTTTTTAATTTGAAAAAAAGAAACAATACTGATTAATTTTTGAAGTAATTTTCGAAATTCTTTTTCAAATTTAACTAATGCAAAATTGTAAAAGAAAGCTGAAAAAAATTGTTTTTCTCATCTTGACGAAGATTAGCAAAAGTATTGCATAAAATGTTCCCAAAAACAGTTACACAAAGTGCTTATTGTGAGGCGGAAATAGAAAAATTCTATTTAAATGTTTTTAACTTAATTCTTAATTTATAGTACTCAATATTTTAATTTCCAGGTAAAAACAAAATAATATGTAAATTGTAAATTATTATGAAAAAAGATGATTAGCCTAAGAGTTGCGATAACCATAAATTCAGGTTAGATGAACACAACAAGCTTATTTTTCTCTTTGTTATTTGTCAGTTATATTGAAATATTTTCGACGATGTGTAATTTATGATCAAAATTTCGGTCAATATTTGAACTGCGGAAAAATCGAGGGCTAAAGTGATAACGTTTTGTCTATTTTTACGCAATGTTCGCATACTATTTACTATGATAAAATTCTATCCACTTCAGAATTTTTTTATACAAGGACACACAATGTAGTAATAACACTTTTTTTATTCGGATTTTATTTTACACAGATTTATTCAAAATTTTAGTTTTTTATTGTTTGGCACTGAATTCAAGTTGAAACAGCTCCGTTCTTCCTTAGCTCAGTTATTATTTAAGTGGGAATTTTGATATTTTGTAGACTTTATTTATATTCTAGAGCGCATTTCAGGAAAATATTTTTTGATTATACAGGGTGTCCCAAAATAAGATACAATACAAAGTTATATGAAACATATGTTGTTTTTTTAAACATCATATGTTTCTTGGCATTTTTGAATGTAGCTTTTAATTTCAATGTTTTTACTTTTATTAGTCGATTTTGCTTAGTTTTTGAATTAAGTTGTTTTTTTTGGCGAAAACATTCTCTTTTTAAAAATCTATTATACAATAGATAGCTGGAATTTTTTTTACCACTGTAAAGAGGATAATAAGACTATAACATATTTTTATTCTTCGACACTGTCAAAATTTACTGTTTTCCTCCCGTGTAAGGAAGTTTTGACAACTGTTTGGCATTTCTCAATACAAAACGTCAAATTATTTTTAACAGATTTAAAGCAAGTTTATGCTTTGTTGACTCTAACTCGAAGAATAAAATGTTGTATTCCACTCGTTTGAGTGTAAATCGGACGCTTTATTCCACCTCGTGGATGGTAAACCACTCGTTACACTCGTGGTTTAAAAATCCACTCGGTCAAATAAAGAGTCCGATTTACACTCAAACTCGTCGAATAAATAACTATTAATGTATTGCAGTCTAATAAAAGTTAAAAAAATGTCTTTTTAAAAGTTAAATAAAAAAATTGAAATGGAACACACAATCTAAAAAAATTAACTTTTGATGTCTAGAATAGATAAATCAAAAGATATTTAATTTTAAATGTTTATTGCAGCAACAATGCCTATTATTAAAGTGAGGATTGTTGATACTAATTCCACTTATCGATCACTTATATGGAATTCGTCCAGAAATTGTAAAAGCCGACATAAATATTTTTTTAATGTACATGTATATCTTTTAAGTCATTAACTGTAGACACTTAAAAGTAAATGTTTTTGGAAAGATCATTTAATAATCTCTTAGATGTAAAACAAAAAATAGGGTGTTCCATCTAAATTCTTTAGGTTATTTAACTTTTAACAAACTTTGACATTTTTTTAACTTTTTGCCTGCAAAAAAAATGTTATAGTCTTAAAGTTTGTACCCTTCCTCTTTACAGTGCATTTTTTTCCAGCTGTCTTAACATTTTGTGTAATATTTTTTTTTAAAAGAGGATGTTTTCGCCAAAAAAAACAACTTAATACAAAAACTAAGCAAAATCAACTAATAGAAGTTTAGCTTAAAATTCAAAAATGCCAATAATCATATGGTGTTTCACTTAAAAAAACATAAGTTTATATTGTAACTTATTTTGGTCCAGCCTGTATAATCAAAAATATTTTCCTCAAATGTGCTCTTGAATATAAATAAAGTCTACAAAATATCAAAATTTCCACTTAAATAATAACTGAGCTACAGAAGACCGGAGCTGAGATGAATCACCCTGTATATCGGTAAAACATTTGTTAATATTTAAAATAAAAAAATAGTATAAAATTTTATATAATAAAAACCGTTTTTTTATACGAGTGTCTGTGTTAAAAAAAGTTATGTGGCCCTTAAGGGCACAAACGCATTAAATTTTTTATAACTACATTATTAATCATATTAATTTCTTTATTTAAAAAAGTCAGGTATTTTTAGTTTGAGTTTCCATATTTTTCCAATAATTTTTTAACGTTAGTTTTAATTTAATATTTATTTTTAAGTGTGATTCTTGTTGACATTATTCAAAAGAGCAAAATTTTTGGCAGTTGAAAGTCAAAAGGTTACTGATAAATTATAAAAATATGCATAATATAAATTTTTGAAGAAGGTTAACACTGAATTACACGTACACAAAAAATACAGTGTAGACTTTGTTGTCAATGTTAACACAGAGCAATAGTGACCTATTTCTTCTTATGTAGGTAACAATTTTTAATAGCGAAAAAGATAAGAAATGTAGGGTAAGTACACAAAAAGTGGGAAAAACAAAAACGATTGGATATTTTTTAATTAAATCTGTTCCACTATTTTCCTACAATTTTTGTTACTTTATTTACTATATAGATATGTCAAAAATCATGTTTATTTTTTACATCCTTGACTTGTGGTCGTATCTCCGACCCGATTACGTTCTAAACCCTCTTTCTATCAAATAAAACGACGCAAATATTTATTTTTTACATTTTTTGATCCATTTATACAACAAATGAAATTAAACAAAGTTAAACGGTAGAAAGTCAAATTAATACCACTACTGGCAGTGTTTTTTTTTAATAAACTACAATTAGTTGCATCGCAATCCGTTTTGGTCAGCAACACAAGGCGGCGCCCCTCTTCTGCAAAGATCCGAACATCCGGACGATTTGAAACATTGTGAAGGATTGTAATTTCCACCACAAGTGTAACAACTGTTACAATCTAGAAAATACAACATAAATATTAACAGAAGTACAAATGACAAAAACTGTACCTCCACGACGATAATTTCCACAATAGGCGTAAGGCCAATTACGTATAAATTGACAATTTTGAGTTCTTTCGTCGTCGTTTTGTTCAATTGTAACCACTGGACTTGTACAAGAACTGGAACATTCTCTATGCCGTCTTATAAAACACCTACTTTCGCCCCCTTCAGCAGTATAACATTGCCTGGGGTGCAAAACGGTGCAACAATTTTCTTGTGTAGCTTGAGGATAAATAAATTGTGGAATTTGAGGTTGTGGTTGTACAATTGGAATTGGTTGAGGAATTGGTATATACTCAATATGGCCATTGGAACTATTTGTGTAGGATCTCGTCTCATCGCTGTGTGACAAATTAATGTTGTTAATGTTAGTCGTATTGACATAAACCGGGATGGTTATGTTATTGAAATTATGAACAACGTTGTGAATGTCAACCTGTGTTGTCAAATTTACCAAATTATTGTTGGTATTGTTGACAATGACACTGGATGGTTGCGGCGGTTCCACAATAATCGCATCATTACTATTTTCAATCTTGTCTTTGCAACCTCCACAGTTGTTGGCACAACTGTTGATGCATTGATTGGTTGTACATTGACTGGAACATCTGTTGACACACGAGGAACACGATTGGCTGTTGCAGGATTGGGGTTGATTTTGGCAGGATGTTTGGCAACCCCGAACGCAGTTGTTTGTGCATTGCACACTGTTGCAGTCGTTGGCACACTGGTTGACGCACTGGTTGCAACTTATGCTGGAACAACACACGTTGTTGCTGCAGCTGTTGCAACTGCGACCGTCGCAAGTGTTACAACCGCCGTTTGAGCAAATTTGACGCTTTTCAATATTTCGGATTGATGTGGAGAGAGAGATTTGCAAGGTGAGGGCCAGGAAAAGGCAGAAAAGTGGAAGCTTCATCTGAAAATTTGGTCTAACTTTTTAGGATAATTTTCAGATAACATACCATTTGCAACACACTTCTTAATCAACTGGACATTCTATTCTAATTTTGCTAGTTTATATAATATTTTTATCGCAATGATAAAAATACATTTTTGAGTTGTGACACTGTTATTAATGTAAAAACCATTAAACTTTTATTTACATTATAACAATTTTTTGTTTTACTACAGAAAAAAAGAAATTACTTTTTTTTTTAATTTCTCCTTGCTGAAATTATGGGGTAAGCTAGAGAGTTCCAGACATTACTAAAAACTAAAAAAGAAAAAAATTATAATTTATTGTTTTCACACAGATAGGTATGTACCTATTTTAGCATTTTGGAAAAAAACTTTAAGGCAATACTTTTGATTTTACACGATTATTTATAACAAATGCCTCGTATTATTATAAATAAGTTCAATAACACAGTAAATAAAATCATTTCGGCTATTTTATCTTATCAAAATGGCCATGTCCATCTTTCATTATCTCTTTTTAGGTTACTGTTATTATTATTTTTAGTTAAAAAATAATGTAATAGAGAAGGAAATAATTAAATGTGGGTTTTTACGTTATTATCAATCCTCAAAATTTATATTTGGTTAGGATTACGTCAATTGTATCTTTACATTATTTAACATTTCGTTTTTCGTTTTAGCATTTTTGACAGTGTTTGAAGTTTAATTATTTTTAGCACGTTATTGTTTCCAAACATATTGTCATATCAACAAGAAATTACTCCCTAGGATTTTGGGATGTTCGTGAATAGGTTGTCATAAATTTGGTTAGGTTGGTTTCTGGTAACAAACAAAAAATATTGTAACTACTGTCAAAATTTAGGTTAAGTCACCTGTCAGCTTGTATGTAAAATTCAATTATTGATAGTTGACAGCAGGTTGACAGGAAACGTCAACCGTCTACAACAACCCTAGGCATTCAAAATTACTTCTGAAAATTCTAGTTACCAACAACATAAAAAACGTAATATTCCTAAAAGTCTAAATCCTAGGTGGTAATTTCTTGTTGACAAATCTGTATACAGTATGTCCCCAGATTGAGTTTACAAGCGGAAAAAAATTTTTTTGATTACAAAGAAAAAACATTTTTTGCTTTACCTGAAACACGCAAATCTGTGATTAAAACCTCATTATTCTAACTCACTAAAAAGAAAAATTAATTTTTTTCTTAATTTTGGAGAAGTAAAGCTTTGGCTAAATAATTTTGTAAAAATTTATAGATGTGTCGAGGGACATTTGATACACTATGTCCCTGGATTGAGTTTACAAGAGGAAAAAAAATTATCCTTCATTTTACGCCAAAACTGTAAAGGAAAAAAAACATTTTTTGTTTTACCTGAAACGAGCAAATCTGTAATTAAAACTTTATTTTTCTAACTCAGTAGAAAGTAAAGTTCATTTTTTTCTTGGACTTGGAATAATTTTTGTCTGCTTTTTAAGTCTTATCACATTGGCAGTTTTATTTATTTGACAACTACCGGGTGATTCTTAAATAGACCGACAAAATTTTATCCTTGGTAGTATCATATGAGAACATACTGGAAAAAATATTAAAAAAATTCTTTGTTTAACCGTTCTCCAAATAAAATTTAATGAAGTTATTTTCGAGGTAAAGTGTACGCCACTGATGTGTTCGTAAATAGTATTAGCACAGGTAGTGGAAACCATGGTATTAATTTGATCAAAATGTACTTGATCATTGCAACAATTCATAAACGCCGTAAGTGGCACGGATCAAGGGGGTTCTGCCCCTAGAAAATATCAACGTAAAAAGGGTACAGATTATTTCCATTTATCCTTGGAAAGCTGTAATAAAATTTTGTCGGTCTATTTAAGAATCACCCTGTATATGTCACTTTGAAAATTAATTTGTTAATTGAATAATAATAGTTCTTCTTAAAAATGACTTTGTTTCTTATCTTAAAGCTGTTTTTATGAGTTGCCATTTATTAAAATTATATTTTTCAAAAACATTTTTGTTACTTAACTTGTGTAAACTTGTCAAAATGACATCATTGTCAAAAAAATAAAACCGCCAATGTGATAAGACTTAAAAAGCAGAGAAAAATTGTCCAAAATCAAGAGAAAACTTAACTTTTCTTTTCAGTGAATCAGAATAATCAAATTTTAAGTACAGATTTGCTCGTTTCAGGTGAAGCAAAAAATGTTTTTCCTTGCAGTTTTGGCGTAAAATCAAAGATATTTTTTTTCCTCTTGTAAACCCAATCTGAGTTTATAAGAAATACATACTATATGTATTTCTTCGACTAAATTACTATCTTTTTGAAAAAGGTACTTAAATTAGTGCCGACTTCAATTATAGATATCTCAGTCCACTCTTTGGTGTAATTTTGGCATAATTAGTCAATGTAAATTGCTCTTTTATAAATTGTGTCTGTTTAAAAAGTGATGTATGCAGTGAGGATTTTATGTCGCTTTATCTTCAATTAAAAAAAAAACACGTCGATCTATTGGTGTCATTCAATGATGTCTAAAGTGTGTCTGTAATTTTAGAGAAACGAAATAAAAAATTGATTTTTGCAACACGAGTTTTCTAGTTTAAAAATCTCAGCCTCTCTCCGGTTGCTCGAATTTAAGATAAGACATTAAATACTTCACAATAAGACATTTCGTTATAGAAAGAATTTTACTGAAAACAATAATTAAAACTAATGAAAACAGAAATTTTTGCTTCATCTCATATTTTTGACTTGTTTCGAAAATGTTGTTTTAAGGATCGAAAAAAAGTGTAGGAGACAAAGTTATAGAAAATTAAATTTGCAATTTGCAAAGTAAGGTGGCATTATTACAACAATAAAGAAACCGTAAAAATGCGTCATTTTCTTACACATCTATGGTGGATTTATGCTTCCATATTTAAGATTTATCATTTAAGATTTAATTTAAGAATTAACGGATTTAACATTTTACTAAATTTTCGAATTTATACTTCTAAATTAATCAAAAACTACTTATTTAAGTATACACCGATGTAAATCTCATATTTTACACAAACATTTGCTAAATTAATGACGATTTCTGACAATCTATATACAGGGTGAATATAAAGTATGGAACCAAGCGGTTTTATTTTTAATCATTTGCCTCCAGAAAATAATAATTAGTATAAATTAAAGTAATATAAAAAATGTGATCGTATTTTCAGAACGAAATTTTGTTTTGTTTTTGAGTTATGCGATTTTTTTTGTCAAAATTGCAATTTATGTGAAAATTTTTTTTTGAAAAAATTAAATTAAAGCAGATAGTTGTAATCCTTAGAGTATATGAGAAAAATGATTTTATAGTGGGTTGTCATTTAAAAAAATATTTTTTTTTTTGTAAAACACAAAAACAAAAGGAAATTTCGAAAAATTTTATTCTTGTTAAATCTTCACATTTTTATAGTACCTTATCACTCATCAATTAGTTTTTTCAAAAAATAAATAGTTTAAGCAAAAAACGTTTGGTTCCATACTTTTTATTCACCTGGTATAAATATAAACTGTATTCTCTAACAGTTTTGACGAGTGCAACATCTTCCATATTAATTCTTATTGTTTTAGAGAAAAGTTTTACTTTTCAAGTGTGATTAATGTCAATAATGACAGTCACGGATTTTATCAATTTTATTTTTCATTTAACGTAACAAGTTAAAAGTTGAGAACTCTTAAATTAAGTTAAATCTTAGACACTAAAGCTTAAATGTTAAATACAGGGCGACAAAAAAAAGTCATGTCGTGACAACTTAAGGTTTGCTCCATATAGGAGAAATGCATGTTAATAAAAAATTGCATTTTTATAAAAAATTAGCAATTAATGATAAAAAAAGTTAGAAAAAAATTATTGCAAAAACAGCAAACACTGTCTACTTTGGTACGATTTCAAATTCAGATATGACAGGAACTAACGTACTCCTTATTAGTTTTTATGAATTCTTCAGAGCTTATATGAATTTAGGCGTGTTGAAAGCACATTGAAATAAAAAAAACAATAAACTTATAAGACAAACCCAAAAATAGCAAAACTCTGAAGTTAGTCATTGTAGAAATTGAGCTGGTTAATTGTAAACATACTAATTTTAATTTCGACGACTTTGCCAGTTTTATTGTAAAATCATGAGTGACGAGTGCTACCTTAGAAACTATTTGTTATTAGCACTCCCTTTTAGTTTCAGAACTTCAACGCCTTCATTGTCAAACGTATCCTTACAAAGATAACGTTTATTGACTAACTTGCTCCCAAATTTTATCACATTTTGTATTCTTTAGCTGCAGTAAAGTTACAGTGCAATTTTTTCGCACAATGAAACCTTGTGTTGTATTTCTGGTTTTGCTCGTACTTTTGTATTTTTCGGACGCAGTTCCACATAAAAGAGAAACCTTCTGCCAAGACAACCGATGTTTGACTTGCATTGGCCGTTATTGCACCACAACATGCGAAGGAGAAGATTGCAAAAAGTGTCCTTTGGGTGACTGTTGCGATGGTTCGAAATGCAATATTTGCAGAGGCGCCAAATGTTGCGAAACATCAGAGTGCAATAGCTGCGTTACTGCATGTTTGAAGAAATGCATAGGGGAGTCGACTTGTCACTATGACTGTTTCCAAGAATGTCTACCTAACGGAAGTGGTCCATCACACGAGAATAAGGTACAATTTTAACTAATTCTGACAATAACACAAGGCGACAAAAAAAAGTCATGTCGTGACAACTTGACAAATTATACAGAGTGTTTGGTCCAAGTTGTCCCGGCTGATAACACCTAAACTTACTTCTTTTTTTCAAAAAGTAAAGATTTAAGTAATAATATTCATTCTTGGCTTTCTTAACAAATGTATCAATTTTTTTTAGCACATCCGGTGTTGCCGGAAATGCTACCAAATTTAGTTTTTCAAATGGAACACCTATGTATTTTTCCTTCAAACAATAATAATTCACATGAAAAATACTGTAAACTACTATTTATTACATTTTACTTTAAATAGAGCACTTAGAATACAATTAAAATGTTTGAATTTTATTGCAAATTTTGCAACGTAGGCGGATTTTACTTGTCAAGGTATTCATGCAAAAAGCAATATGCTTATATAAATAATTAGTACGCAGGTACTATTTATTTGTTGTAAGTAAACAAACAGTTTTTGTTTATTTTAATTATAACAAAGAAGGTGCAATTGACTATTTATAAGCAAAAGAAGAGTCTTAAAACAAATACTTTTATAAAAATGCAATTTTAAGTATGATTAACATGCATTTCTCCCATATGGTGCAATACCTGAATAGCAAACCTTAACTTCAAAAAATCATATCTTAAAAACTACTCGGAATATTATTTTAAAAATTTGGATTCTTACTAATAAAAAGATGCTCTACACGATGGTAATGATGAAAAAAAAATACTCGTAGGGTTTTTCTTAGATTATTTCGATTTACTTCGAACTTCTTCAAACACTGTTCGAAGAAAAGTTTGTTAATATTCAATTTCAAATTTTATATCATTCTAGAGGGCAAGGCCATCCCTTTAGAATGCCCTTTATTTAAAAGAAATCGGCCTAATTTCAAGTATTTTAAATTCATTTAAATTAGAAAAAAAATATTTAGTTCAAAGTGTGTGAATTTTTTTAGTGCATTTGATTTGTCTCACTGAGACGAACAAAATGATATACAATTTGTCAAGTTGTCACGACATGACTTTTGTTTGTCGCCCTGTGTAATAACAATATTTTTGAAGACGACCTACTATGGAACACCGTTGGTAAATAACTACAACTATCTGCCAGTTAATGTTACCACAATTATCAACATAACTAACTCACTTTACAACGATAATGCGATCAATAACCCAATTTTTATAAACACAACAAACCTTAATAATTATACAGGAGAGCAAAACACCTATCATCGCAAACAAGTGATTCTTGGTGATAATAACAGTGAAAAGCAAAATGAAACGCTAGTACTTTTTGACGCTCAGGAGGGAACAAACACCAAACAAAATTGCTGCGAAGTGGTACATCCTGAACTTTGTAAAACAGTACCAAGAGAAAGCAGTCGTTTGTGTTTTACAGGAAAACACAACGAGTGTTCACAAATTTGTATCGGAAAACATGTTCACATAGTTGAAGACAAAGAACAAAAACATCAGTGTGTGTCGATTGCACACAATCCATATTTCTTTTGCGGCCTTTATGTTGTTGAAAGTGAGTTTTTATGATTTGTTTTCTGTTAACAAACGAAAATTTTTAGATTGCGATGGTTGTTACGACTGCAAGAATCTTGAAAATGAAAGTGATCCTAAATGTAGTGAAGAATCGGCTTGTTCCGAGAAATGCAAGGCTTCCATGATTGATGAACAGTTCTATAACAGACTATACAGAAAAGATTGATTTTTCAAGTTGTAATTATGTAGGGAGGGAAACCCGTATTAAAACGTTTTTAGAACAATATGTTTTTTTAATAGTGTAAAAATAGTAATTAAAGTCTTACACATTGAATATTTTTTTTAATGTCCTTATTTTTGAAATCTTCAAATAAATCCAATTTTTGTCCGAAAGACTTGACAAAAATGTTCATACGCAATTTTTATGTTCATTTAATTTCAAATAACTAGGTACAGTTGGAGACAAAATATTTTGGTCGTTAATGTCACTTGAGTGACATTAAATTGTAAAGCATGCTTTAGAACTGCTAACCCTATTTTTAGTTACTGTCAATTATTTTTAGCTGTCATTAATTTGAAATTGTCATTCATTTTAACGTTAAAGCTTGAATTACATTAAAGTGTCAAAAAAGTGACGAACAAAGTATTTTGTCTCCAACTGTACCTATTTAAATTATTAATTTATCAACAGTTAGTGTTATAATCTGTGTATAATTTGGCCGTTTCCGTTGTAGTTAAATTTCAGTCTACGACCTTAAAAACTTGTTTTTTTTTTAAATTTCGATTAAAAAAATTTCAAGGATGTATTTATTTCAAAATTTACTCAAATCGTTGTGACTTAGTTTTCAAATATCAGGAAATACATATCTGAAAAGTAGTGCTGATAAAGTAGTATGAAATAAATGTCATATTATATAGAATGTTGGGGAAAACCCCATAAGCTGTACTATTATTATTTTTTATCAGATCTCAATAAATACAGGTTGTCCCAGCGAGTTGAAAAAGTCTTTTAGTGGTAGTGGTAGTGGTCTTTAAATGGTAAAATTTAAAAAAAATTGTATAGACATTAATAGATACTCTAATCTAGTGCATCACCTACAATTTTACAATTATTTTAAATTGTACAGAATGTCCCAAAAATAAGTTACCATACAAACTTGTTTTTTTTTTTTTAAATGAAACATTTTTTGATGTAGCCTTTTAAAACAATGTTTTTACGTAAACTTTTATTAGTCGATTTCGCTTAATTTTAGAAATAAGAAGTTTTTTTTGACGAAAACATGCACTTTTTATAAATGCATTACACAAAAACTAAGACAGCTGGAACAAATTTTTTTCTTACTTCTGCAAAGAAGAAAGTACAGAATTTAAAGCCGTAGCAATTTTTTAGTGTTTTGCATTTGTAAAAATTAATAAATTAAAAACTTTGTTAAAAATCAAATAACTTAAAAAATTTAAATGGAACACTCTATTTCATTTGCAAATGCAACACACTAAAAAAATGTTACAACCTTATAGCTTGTACCTTCCTTCTTCTTTGCGGTAGTAAAAAAAAAATTCTTGATGTCTTAGTTTTTGTATAATAAATTTTTAAAAAGTGCATGTTTTTGTCAAAAAACTAAGTAAAATCGACCAATAAAAGTTAAAAACATTGTCATAAAAGTCTACATCCAAAAAGGCTAAGAAACATATGATGTTCCATTTAAAAAAACACAAGTTTGTATTGTAACTTATTTTTGAGACACGCTGTACAGTTGAAACTAATTTTAGGTGATATAAATATTTTTTTAAATTTTACCATTTAAAGATCACTAATGGACTTTTTCAACTCGCTGGGACATCCTGTATAATCTGGGTGTCTCATATATTGGCAACAATTTTTTAACTTAGTTGTAAATTGCTTAATTTAAAAGTTTTTGTTAAACTTCTTAACGCGTGTTTGACAAGAGAAAAAAATCGATTATGATAAAAAATTGGTATGTTGTAAGACAAAATTAAGAAAAGAATCGCCCATGAGTACAAAAAATTGTCTGTTGTAAGAAAAAGAGCAAAAAGCGTAAGATAACACAAAAAATGCATATTGTAAAAACGTTAGCAAAAAATTACACGAGATTACAAAAAATTGGAAAAGCGTTTGCCGAAACATAAAAATCGCTGATAGCAAAAAAGTGATCTTGTTACTTGTTACAAAAATTTGACAAGCAAAAAACATGCAATATGTCTGTGATAAACAACAAATTTAAAAAACATCGCCATATTTTGCTAAATTTTTTGTTTTACCAAGCGCTTTGCAAATGTTTTTCCCAGACACCTTGTAATTGATAATTACGGTTTAGATAAACATTGTTTTTTGGCAAGATAATGCGGCTGCAAAAGCTTGATACAATTTCTGTGTTCATTTTATTTTAGATTTTTTTATGAAGAGGTACCGTAATTACCGTAATTACAACTTTATCTTGGTATTTTTTATTGCCTTCAATTTGTCACTTTTCACGCAGCTTTTTCTATATGAAAAAGCGGAGCTTTTTGGTTTTAAAATTCAGTAGGCTTCATTTGTAACATAGATTCTTCTTTTACCCAGAAATCAAATGTTTGACCTATTTCACTATAAAAAACGCAGTTGCGACGTTGCCATTGTGACAGTAGAAAAGTCCCGGAGTATACAGGATGTTCCGTTTTTATTGTTACAAACTTAAACAGGTGATAGAATATTTAATTTTAAGAAAAGTTTCCTATGAACATGTACAGAAAATGTTATGTAAGCGAGCTACACCCCCTGAAAAAGATGCGTTTTTAATAGGGTTTTCCTACTATTGCAGAATAGATAAAATTACAACAGATGGTACAGCTGATTACTTTTAAACACCTGAACGAATTTAAAGATCAGTGTCGAAACTTTTAATCACGGGTTTCTTAAACGGTGATACAAATTTGATTTTTAATTTTTATCCTTTTTATGGTCTGTAAGACAAATTGTAAACTGATTTTACTCAAAAACGGTAAGTTTTATCTAAAAAAAGCAAGAGAAAAACTATGAAATTTAGAATTTTGTAGCTGAAAGTGGCAAAAACCAACAACCAAAACAGTTAGGGTACTTTTTACCCTAAACCCCCCAGTTTAGGCCGCCCCTGAGTAAAAATTTCAACATTTTATCTTTGAATTCATTTGGGTATATAAGGTTATTAGTTGTACCAAATTTTGTAATTTTATCCACGATGGTTTCTGAAATATTGGAAAAAATCTATTAAAAGTTGCACCCCTTTCAGGGGATGTGGCTCCCTTATTAAAATTTTTCGATATATGTTTATAGGAAACTTTTATCTTAAAATTGAATATTCTATCACCTGGTCGAATTTGTAACAATAAAAATGGAACATCTGTATTTTCGACAAATGCAAAACTTTTGTTAGTGGTTTAAACACGTCTTGAAGAATTTATTTTTTAGTAAGTTAATTTTTATAAAAACGATTGAAATACTCATAAGTATCTGATGTGTGTCAAATTGGACAAAAATAAAACAACAGAAAAATAAAGTACATGTATATTTTAAAATTGTAAAAATATATTACATTAGAATAAAAAATAAATTGTCTGGTCTTCTTGTTTGATTAAATAAAATACTGAAGCACAAACTAAAAATGAAGTACAGGTATTAATTAGATGAAGTTGTAGTGGCAATTTCTACAGATGCAACAGTCGTAGAATTTGTAGTTTCTGTCGTAGTGCTACTTGTAGCTTTATTTTTATGTTTTCTATTGGGCTTAATTCTTATCTCAGCATACCTCCCCAACCTAGGCGAATCTTTGACTTCAGCTTCAATATTCATCATTTTATCTGGTTGAAACCACTGTATATTCTTATCATCCTTAATATCAATCGACTTTTCATCCACTGAACCATTCCAGTGAATGGGTGCCACAGAACAAGTACCATTCTCACAATCCTCGATAATATACGGATACGTCTGAGGCGGGTACATGTACGGAAACCCACTCGCAGCCCCAGCATAGCTCTCATAACCATCCCACCCATACCCACAAGTCCCAGTTTGGACACAGGAAGGTACATGGGCAAAACCGGGCCTGTAAAACGGCCCTTGTCTATAATACGGCCCTGCACCATACCCATCGTCGTAGCAGAAATTCGAACATTTGGTCAAATCTTCCCGTTTGATGTAGTGGTCGTAGCAGCCGTCGCAGGTATGTGATTGGCTGTTCCCGCACGTGACGTAGGGCCAGGTTGGTTGGTAGGCACACCTAGGCTGCGGCTGCGGGATGTAGACTACTTGCTGTCGACAAGGTTGCTGTAAATTCACGTCATTGTCGCAAATTTCGTGCTTTTGGTAGTGGACCACGGGGGCGGTGCACATACTCCCACAGGTTTTCCTCCGGACGTGGAAACACCTCATAAAGGGAAAATCGTTCTGAGGGACGCATTGCCTAGGCCCTACAGACATGCAACATTGGTCCTTTGACGTCTCCTGGACGTAAATCCCGAAATAACCCCCTCCGCGATACTGCCCTTCATTCGTGATATTATTCAAAACCGTGTTGTTAACATTAATCGGTAAATTAATCAAATTCGTATTATTGATAACATTATTCAAATGAATCACTGTTGTTATATTGTGTTTGCTGGTGCTTTCATGTCTTTGGGACATTTGGGACGTCTGGGAGGATGGTGTTTGAGTTGCCCTGTCTAGACACCGTTTTTTGCAGGAAGTTCTGCAGGAGTTGGAGCGACATTCGGCTCGGCAGGTTTGGTGGCAACAGTTGGTTGATGTGCAGGAGCTACTTTGGCAACATTGTCCGCAACAACTGTCTTTGTGGCCGCAGGAGTCGCAGGAACTGTAGCTACAAGTGTTACAGTCGCAATTGTCGCAGGAATCTTCGTCGTAGCAGTCAGTCGAACGCTTGGTACGACGACGTTCCATACAAGCGCGGTATTTTTCGTATTCGGATGTCATATTTTCGCAATCGTCTTGAGTTGCCGTCTCGCATTTTTCTTTCTTGGGAGTGGTGCAAATAATGAGGGTTGAGAAGAAAAAGAGCACCAATAGTTTCATCTGAAAGAGAGAGGACAAGAAAATTAATAATGGCAATTTCGCAAAATTTTAAAAATGAATCTGCATTTTTCAGTTTTTTAAAAGCAGTTCAATAAGTACTATAAGTATTAGATTAGTATTATTATTTATCTAAAATTTTGACTATAGCCATAATGGTTTAGATTCTGCTCAATAAAAATATTTTTAAGATGGTAGCACTTCCGGTTACACCGAAAATGGATATCAACTTTGTTGTTTTAAATAAAAAGTTATGTTTTTGCTGCGTTTTTGGATTACTCAAGTGATTTTGAGAGTTTTTATCAGACTTCCCTATACCTTAATTTAATCGTTTTTGAAGTATTTAGACTTTTTTGAATTTTTTTTAATTTGTATTTTTCTCTCCAAAAATCGATAACTCTACCATTTTTCATTATTTTAAAATCGTATTTGGACATATGAAAAAGAAATAGAAATCTTTTCCTCTAAAATTTAAAGTTACGTTTGGGTAACTTCAAATACGTATAACTTAATTGTTTTAAATTGAAGGCCCCAATTTTTTCTTCATTAAATAAAAGAGAATTTAATTCTGCATCGATCTGTATCAATATTCCCTATACCTAAATTTAATGATTTTCAAGTTGTTTTAACTTTTTTTTACAATGGAAGTAATTTATTACTGTCCATGGTAGTTTTCGCATAGTTTGCCACAGGGGCGGACTGGCCAGGGGTGCCGGGGTGCCACAGCACACCGGGCCCTCGTGTCTTACAGGGCCCCAATTATGGTAGGCTCTTATTTTAAATTAAATGTTTCTATACGTATATTTATTAATTTATTATGTCAAGAGCCCAATCAAATAAGATCAATTTTACATTTTTTTAAATAAACTTTCCACAGTGCAGGAGAAGGTTGTACATAATTTGAAATTACATAGAGCTGATTCCATAAAGTGCTGAACTACGTTTTTCGCCGAAGCTAAGAGTGTTTGTTTGTAGGAATTAAAAATATAGCCAAAACAAATTCGTAAAACTTAAAGCAAGTCTATAATTTTAATGATTTTAGTTCAGTTTTATTTATACGGTCCTAAGCGTATGTAAGAAAAGTCCGCGTGGTTTTATACAAGATATCGTTTTTACTTAAATTTATATGTTGGCATAACTAATGGAAAAATTATAAATACTTACAAGGTTATACAAAATGATTTTCGACTAGTCGCCTATGGATTTTTCATTTAAAATAAAAAATGCCACTTTAAAAAATATTGAATTTAATTAACCCTAGGATGCATAACGTGGGTATTTTGTATCAAAATTTCTTTTTAATTTTAATTTACTCATAATTTTATAAGATTTTAGTTAGGCCTTCTTTATAATGTTGTTAACATAATAGTTGAAGTTATATTTTACAAAGATTGTAATTTACAGAATAAAAAAATATTTTTAGTAATTACCCAGGTGTTTAAAGGTATTCAAACTTTGTCTGATTTTCAAGTCAGTTTTAAAAGATATTTGAAAATTTATATCAGTTGCATAAACAGACCAACAAGCAACACACCAGTGAAAAATTACCAACCAAAAAAGTGTTTTATATGAACAACAAAAGAAAACCGCAAATGCAACCTAGTGTGTGTACAAGTAGCGAACCTATGTGTGAAAAACACTCTRTATAGATATAAAAATAAAGAATATTAATAAAACGTTTGTTTAAACAAACAATTATTATTTTAACAATAATACAACTTGATAATTCAAATCTCGGTGGTCAAAATAATGTCAAAATGCTCTAGGGTATTTTTCTGTTGGTTGTATCCTAGGGTTAACCTCAAGTATTAATTTATTTCGATTGACGGCTGTCACTGTTGACAGATCTATCTAGTTCAAAAATAATAGATCGGGACAGTGTAATTTACATGTAAAAAAATTCCATATAGGCGACTAGATGAAAATCATTTTGAAACAGGCTGTATAAACTTGGTGCACAGAAACGAAAAGAAAAAAAAAGAAAATTTCAAGCAGCTCTGAACACTTCATCAAAAAATGTTTTTTCGTTTATTAAACCGTCATGATCTCAACTGAACGTGACGTCACACCCTCAGTAAAGGAAATAATTAATGAATTTAGAAAAGGTAATGAACACTTCATCAAAAAATGTTTTTTCGTTTATTAAACCGTCATGATCTCAACTGAACGTGACGTCACACCCTCAGTAAAGGAAATAATTAATGAATTTAGAAAAGGTAATGCACTTCTTTAAAAAAAATATATATTGCATTAAGTGGTAAGTAGTTTTTATACATATTTTATTGCATTTATTGGTCCCTCATTTCAATTTAGCACCCCATGAAAAAATTTGCCAGTCCGCCACTGGTTTGCCATGGAAATATTTCTCACTGAAAAAACGTCAAGTTTATTTTCACAATTGTGTTATTCTTTTCGTAAATACAAATTAAATTTATTTAATCTAAATTTGAATGACTATGATATTCTATTTTTTTCTTATTTCTATGCTAAACTAGCTATGGCTAATGAATTTTATACAATATAAAGAAATTACTATAACTTGAAAACTGTAAAACATAGGTAGGTATAGGAAATGTTAATACAGATCAACACAGAACTAAATTTTACTCCATTTCATTTAGAAAAATTGAGTTAAGAGTATTTGAAGTTTCCTAAACGTAACCTTACATTTTGGCGATTTGTTAATTATTTTTTTGAATTATGAATAAAACAAAGGAAAGATCTAACCTTTCTCTCTCGTATACCCAAATGTACGGTTTCAACATAACAAAAAATGATAGAGTTATCGATTTTTGAACAGGGAGATTCAAATCCAAAAAAATCTAAAAATTTCAAAATATTTCGAAAACGGTTAAATTTATGTATAAGAAAGGCTAATAAAAACTCTCTCCAAATCACTTGAGTACCTAATCCAAAAATGCAATACAAAACATAGTTTTTTATTTAAAATAACAAAGTTGATATCCACTTCCGGTGTAACATGAATTGCCGCCATCTTGAAAATACTTTCATTGTGCAGAACCTAACCGATTATGGCCAAAAACAAAATTTTAGATAAATAATGAACCAGATCAGCCTGTATACCTGGTCGAACTAATATTTAACTGATATTTAGTACTTATTATTTTTTCAGAAAAAAATCGCTATTTACAAGACAATTTTATCTTGTATTTTTTAAATTATACAGGTTGCGCCAGAACTCGCTCCCCAGAGAAAATTTTCTAATGATACTGATGATCTTGTATGTTTTTTTAAAATTATTTGGTAAAGGGAGAAAAATTTTGCCAATAAAAGCCACAAATAACATTAAACAGAGTTACAATTTAGGATACAATTTCCTTGTTTCCTCTTTTAATAGCCTGTAGCAAAAAAACATTGAAAATTATTTTTCCAACAGAAATAAATAGAGTCAAAGTGCAAAGTTTAAACTCTCATAACTTCGAAATTTTTATAAATAATTTTTTTTTAAATTTTTTCCATGTTCCTGGTATCTTACTTTATATGGCATTTTTCTCTGGGGCGCGAATTCTGGCGCACCCTGTATATTGCGATTATCACTTTAAAAATTTGACAAAATAAAAAGTTGAAAGTTAATTTACCTAATTTATTTTTGATAATAATGATAATTGATATTACTTAATTAAATTAAATTACATACAAGATGGTGATCAATCTCGAACCAAAATTTAATTCCTTTATTACGTTATTTACCTTGTATGGCGGTTGGAGTGAATGCACTGCACAACTGTATTTACGTTAAAGATATTAAAAAAGGATAATGTGTAACATAAAATTAAAAAACTAACAAGAAATAATATTGAAGAGATTAAATTATGTAAATTAAAAATGCTAACAATTTTCAAACTTATATTTTTTTTATGAATAATGTAAATATATTATTCATAAAAAAAATAAAAAATTAATAAATTGTAAGAGAAATAACTGATAGTAGCTTGTAAAATAAATTTGGTAATTATTCAACATTACGAACCAAAAATTTAGACGAACTGTTTTTTAGTAATTTATAAATCACTACATGAATATGAAAATTAGAAATACCTTTGAAGGGATTGGTTCCTGCACAAGTCGTTAACCACCACCTTCACCACATCGACTAATGCAATATCTCTGCGACAATAGTCTTATTCAGGTCTATATAATCCATAACTATATCTTTTCTGATAAGACGGTAATTACAAAGTTTTCACTTCCTACGGTCTTCACAAGGTACAAATCATTGCTTCGCGTGGAACCTCGACACTTCTCTAGTTACAAGAAGTCATCATAATTTTTGGCAAAACTTTGTACTTTTTAATTAAATTTTGATGGAAATGGATATTTTTTGGGCCTTGTCGGCTTTCTAGAAAAATAATGTTATAAATCTCCCATAATTTTTTCCCCTACTTTATTATCTGCTTTGTCAAATAGTAAAAAGAACGTTTCTTCTGTTTGAAAAATGTCAAACGGAAACACTGTACAAATTTAACCTTAAGCAAATATTTGCCGTGACAATTTAGTATGAATAAAAATGTTAACCCACATTTCGATAATCGATATGGACCTAATCACAATAGGTGCGTTGAACTTTCGTGCGATAAAACTCTTTCATCTTATCTTAATTTGCCTTTGGGATTATAAAGAAGCCAATCCCTCAAAAGTCCCCATTGCTAATTTGTGTTTGTCCATAAAACGTAATGTTTGCATTCATCTGAATATCATATTTTTCGTAATTTTTTTTGAAGACGAATGAACAATCGCGTAATGTATCCGAGTTGCAAATATTAATTAAAATAAAGTTACTTTACTTTCCTTTGGAAAGTTTCTTACCTTTACTTGAAACTTTACAAAGGATTCATTTTCTGTCTAACTTAAATGATGATGCGGAGACGGGCTTACAAAATACTTCAAAGCAATATAGACTTTGAAATTTAGTTACACATTTCATATATTTAGTTGTGATTACGAAAGTTTCCACCCTATATTTTATTCAAGATAGTTGGTTTTAATAATTCGTTTTTTTCGGCACAGAGTTATTATTTATCTATTTACTGTTACATATTTGTGTAACATTTTTCCGTTATTTATCTATATACTTAAAGATTAATAACTGTAAAGTCTTTTGTCAATGGAGAAATTCTCATTGTTTGATCACTGTTTTCACGTATTGTTAATACACTTTAACCGGGTAAAACTCTAATCTAACAAGTATTTCCAATAATTGTTTCTTAAAATATCAAGAGTTACACATCAATAATCAAACAACGCTTTAATAAATTAAAAAAAAATTCTAACGTGTTTGGTACAATTTGTAAAAATTGATTAAACAAATTTCTTCCCTGAAGGACTCTCTGAATAGATTTTATCCCAAAACGATAAAGTTTCATGAACCAGCTTATCGTGCAACGTTGACTCTTTATCAATATCCAAAATCCACATTTGGTCTTTGTTGACACTTTTCCAAATATTTTTCTCAAGAGCTGGATTTCCAAACCGCGCGAAATTCGCCCACCATTGCACAAATTTGTTCACAAACTTGTACTCCCAAGAGGTTAAGTTTGGAGTAAAAACAGTTTTAAAAAGGTATGGAATATCGTCACAATGAATGGCACCTGAAATAAAATAAAATAGGAGTATACAGGATGTTCCAATGAAAACGAGCCACCCTGAATATCTCAGAAAGTAAAAAGACTTTGCAAAAACACCGAAACAGGTCGATTTTGTTTCCGAGGGGGACATTTTTTGACGTAATTTTTAAATAACCCCCAGTAACCCTTCAATCCCCACTTGTAGCACATCAAATGAAAGCTATTTTGGCAAGGTTTTCAAAACTTTTTACCAAAATTGAATCAAACATTTATTCATGAGATCCGGGTGTTCTAATAAAAACGGACCATTTTAGAAAAAAATTGCAAAAAAAAACCGAAACAGATAAATTTTGTCTTTAAAAGAAACATTCTTTAACGCAATTTTAAAAGCATCTTCACTAACCCTTTAACCTCTAGGCCACTTAACTCTAAAATGTCAAATAGCACCAAACACTACTGATACAAAAAATGAAAACACTTTTAAATGCTTTTTAAAAGCTTTTTTCCAAAATGAAATGATTTTTATACATTCATAAATATCGGCAAAAAACTAATCTTTCAGCAGTCAGTATGTACAAAGGGACTTAAGAACTACGAGTATATTGCTATTTTTTAGATACTTACATTAAATTATAAGAAACTTTATTACTTCTTGTCCTTTAGTCCGATTATTTAGACAATAAAAAGTTTCTTGTACTTTATTTTAATAGTTTTTATTAGAAGTAATTACTAATTAGAAACATTATTTTGTGTGAATGAATAGATAATCCCATTCAACTTTAGAAAAGAGGCTTAAACAACATTTTAAAAACACTTTTATTAAAATTAAAAACGCTTTTAAAATTGCGTCAAAAAATGTCTTTTTTTAAATCATAATTAACCTGTTTCTTTTTTTTTGCAAATTCTTTCTCGTTCGTTTTTATTAGAACACCGTGTATTACAAGAATGGATGGTTTGATTCAATTTTGGTAAAAACTTTTGAAAAGCTTGTTAAAATAGCTTTTATTTAATGTGTTACAAGTAGGGTAGTGCTATTTAAATTTATAATGTTGGGGTGCGTGGGGGTTAAAGGGTTACTGGAAGTGATTTAAAAATTACGTCAAAAAATGTCCCCCTGTTTCGGCGTTTTTGCAAAGTCTTTTTAGTTTCTGAGATATTCGGGGTGGTTCGTTTTCATTGGAACACTCTATATATTTCAAAAAATTACCTCTTTTTGTTGTTTTATTTGAAAAAAAGTCAACGATGTTTCTAGCGACATTTGAAAGAAGTAGATTGGGTCGTTGGAAACAAGTGCATGTTTTTTCACCGAGGAATAAATTCCATAGACGAATAAACAAACCATCACCGACCATTTCGTAAAATTTGTGGTTTTTTGGACCAATTTCTTCATTCCCAAAATACATTTGTTGGATTTTTTTAGACAAAGTTTTGCTCTTTTCACTTCCAGTTTCATATCCGAGAAAGTGTGGGACATTATTTTCAAAATTTTGCATCAGGGATTATTCTTGTCGGTTTGTACGTCTCCACAACCATACCTTCACATTTTGCGAAACCTACCATCAAAGGTAGAGTTTGCAAATTTTTTGCCAAAATAATATCGAGTGGTTCTTGGGGCATAAAAGTTTCTTTACCGTGATCTATCACCAAGCCCCAAGCATTTTTATTACTAGGAGCCAAATCCTGGTGAAAATTAATCAAGTTTAAGTAATTTTGACATGAAATATATTACAAATTCAATTTTTTCCTGTAGTTGCAGTATCACTTCAACTGGAACATTTTGAAGTCGTTGCAACATTTCCTTGTCGTTCATTACACCAAAAAAATAATTAATCTCTCTATCACAACTTCTCCCTCTTGGCCATGGATTTAAACCACACCCACTTTGCATTATCACTTTATGGAATAAACCCTGAGACATTGGCGATAACATTAAAAATGTACCGCTGCTCCTCCTGCACTTGTTCCAAATATTGTAACATTGTTTGCATCACCACCAAAGTGTTTGATATTTTTTTGTATCTATTTTAGGGCCATTACCATGTCTTTAAACCCCACATTGCCTGGAATTTCCTCTCCCAAACTTAAAAAACCTTAATCAAAAAAATTAAAATAGGTTGCAAATTTTTGTAAACACCTAATAAACCAAGCCTGTAATTTATAGTAACTAGAACAACATTTCCGGTCATTAAAAATTCCGAGCCGTATATTTCCGAACTGTTTGAGCCACTTGTAAAGCCCCCACCGTGAATATAAACCATGACTGGTAATAAATTTCTTATGCTAGGTGTGTAAACATTCAAATTTAGACAGTCCTCCGAACCAAGCATTTTTTTCGAAAATAAATCCTTAGAGTAACAACAAGGCGGTGGTGGTTGTGGAGCCTATAAAGTTTGATTTGTGGACAAAACATTTAGTTTTAATTTGTTAAAACCTTGAAACGAAGATTGCCCAAGGGTGGTTTTGCGTAAGGAATTCCCCGAAAACTGTGAAAATTGTTGCCATCAATATCTTTTGAAATCGTTCCCATTAATTCACCTTGATCTATTTTTACCAGTGTTGTAGTCATTTTATGAAAGCTGTTTAAATAAAACTGATAACTCATGTAAATGTTGGTTGCAGAATTTCTCTTTCTAAGTTAATTATTGTTATCCTGGTTAGAAATAAGCCTAAGTTGAGTCCTTAAAAAATGTTTATTGAAACCAAAACTTTTTCTTGAATTTGACGGAGAAAAATTTGAGTTGATTTTCGAAATGTAAAAATTTATTTGCAGGTTATGAATAACCAAAATTTTCAATTGAATTGTGTTGTACATACCGTGATTTAAACTGTACAACTTTTTTTTTGTTAAAAATATTTGAGACTAGTTTTAACATTTCTTTGTCAAAAAATTGAACACAAACATACACATACACAATCACTATTAATTATTGTTGCACGTAGGTACTTAGGTATAACCCAATATTTTCAACATAACAAAAAATAGTTCTAAAATCTGAAAAATTTCAAATGAAACACTTCTTGTAGAAATTTTTTATTATTTTAATTAAAGTTTAGAAAGCATGGGATTAATTTTGAATATTTCATCCCAAAATGCCATTCTTTCGGGTTCAGGATTGACTTTCATCTTCATTTCTGTCCCAATTTCTAGATAATTTATTTTGTCAACTTGTACAGGTTTCCATTCAGGAGTGGGATTGCCAAAACGGGCAAAATTGGTCCACAATTTTGTAATTTTCTTTTGGGAAATGTCTTCTACACTACCTGGCACTATTTCAGGTGTAAAAATTGTCTTAAACAGGTAACCTAATTCGTCACCATGATAGACACCTAAAATTTCTTTCAAAATTTTGATAGACACTTTTAATAATAATTTTACCAGGTGCTGTAACTCCTGCCAACTTTTTGAAAATATTTAGATCCGTTTCAAGAGTCATTTTGTAAAAATATATCGGTTTCTTTGAAGTTCTTGATTGGTATTTTACAGAAAAATAAATGTCTCTCAAAAAACATGTGTCTGTACATAGCTACAATTTTTTTTTAACTTAATTAATTTTTTGGAAACCACTTACGTCATAGTACTGTATTGCATTTTCTTCTCTATTTTGTTCAACATTACCAAAATAAAAACGTTTAATTTTGTCAGCAACGTCTTTAGATATTTTGCTTCCTCTTTGAAGATTGAGCGAAAATGGTACTGACAGTTCCATATTCTTCAAATAAGGTTCTCGAGCTCTGTTTGGTATTATATTATCAAAAGCCATGCCTTCTCTGGCATTGTATCCTATCATAAACGGGACGTGGTTATAATTCCCTTTCAAAATAATATCAAGTGGTCTCTCGGTCAAAAAAGGCTCTTCCTTTGATGGTCTTTCAACAACAGCTCCGAAAAAATGGTAATCATTTTCCAGAAAATCTTTCTGAATTTGCAACAAAATAGAAAATAAGTAAATACTACACACATGTTGAATCTTACATTGTCAATTTTTATTTGGGCTTTTAACAATTCTTTAGCTGGCATATTTTGCAAAAACTTGACTAATTTTCGATCACCTGAATTGGAAAATCCGAGAGTTTTTGCAATTAATTTAGCCGAACGTTTGCCGAAAACCCAGGTATTTAAAGCACTCGAGCTTTGTGCTATAACTTTATGCAACAACCCTTAAAAAATTTATAAGTTGGAGTTTACATTAAGAAGTTTTTCACCTTTAGTCATTGGAGACAACATTAGGAGGTGTGCAGCAACAGCACCGGCGCTTTCGCCAAAAACTGTAACATTGTTAGGATCACCCGAAAAATGGTGTATGTTTTTTTGCACCCATTTCAAGGCCATCACCATGTCTTTAAAACCCGCATTCCCGGGAATACCAAGAGAGGAGTCGTCCAGACTCAAAAAACCCAAAATACCTAATCTGTAGTTGATTGTGACCAAAATTACGTCTTCGGTCATTAAAAATTCGGGTCCATGAAGTTCGCTTTTGTTAGATCCGGTCATAAAAAGACCACCGTGAATATAAAACATTACTGGTAGATTTTTTCCATTTTTTTGCAACTACGATTTATCAGTTGGAAAACAATGACACAACAAAATATGAAGTACCTGAGGAGTGTAAACATTCAAATTTAAACAATCCTCACAACCTATGAATTTTCTTGTCATAAAGTGTCGTGAAATACTTTCGTTCCCTTCTTCGGTGCAATTTTTTATGTCTTGCCATGGCTGGACGGGTTGAGGTGCCTAAAATTTCGCAATTGTGCAATTTTTTTTACAGTGGAAATTTTTACTTTGAAGCGTAGTTCGCCTATAGGTGGTGCAGCGTATGGTATATTTTGAAAACTGTAAAACTTTTCCCCCCGAGCGTCTACACCAATTTTACCCCTTATTTTGCCACTCTCTATTTGAATCACAACCATGGCAAAGCCTTGCACTTACTGGAATATATTGCTTTATCATCGGTTGATAACAAAGAACTTGAACTTTGTCTCATGTACTTTATTGAAAAAAACAGTTAATGTATTACAATTTATTGTTAGGATTAATTTTTAAAATTCTCTGCCAAAAAGCCATTCTGTCAGAATCTGGATCAACTCCAGTGGTCAGTTTTGTCCCAATATCCAAAAAGTTCATTTCGTTTTGGGTCACAGGTTTCCATTTTACGTTAATAAGGGAATTTTTTTCTTTCGGATTGGGGTCACCATACTTTGCAAAATTCGTCCAAAGTGTAACAAATCTTTTCACAGCAATGTCTTCGTCACTCCCTTCTTCTATATCAGGAGTCAACAAATTTGTAAACAAGTAACCCAAATCGTCAGCATGCGAAACACCTGAAATTTCATTACAATTTTTTCGTTCAAAATATACAAAATCAAACCTGGCTCAGTTATTGAGAAAAGATTTTTGAACATATTTAGACTAGTCTCAATCGACATTCTATAGAAATAAATAGGAACTGAAGATGTCTTGTTATGGTACTTGACAGTTTGCCATATTTCTCTCAGGAAAAAATTATCAGTCTCGAGCTATAATAATTTGTATTAATTTTCGTTTTTAAAGGTGTGTCGTAATAACTTACTAAATAAAATTTGTCCTTGTTTTTATCAGTAGGTTCTTCATTTCCATAATAAAATTCTTTAATATTTTTAGCTACTAATTTTGAAATATCTGAACCCCTTTGAAGCTTCAAAAAATTAGGAACAGCAAGCTCAAAATCAGTTATTGGTTTAAAAGGTTTAGGTCTTTGTAAAACTTCAGACAAAATCCCTTCTCTAGTGGTGTAACCTATCATTATTGGTACATGATTGTACCTCCCGGATTTCAGTAAATCAATCGGATCTTCGCACAAAAAAGCACCTTCTGATTTCTTTTCAATGACTGGCCCATGTGGCCTGACTAGACAGGCAATAAATGGCTAAAATATCCAAGATAGTTTTGACAAAATTAAAACTGTGACAAATTACATCATGAATTTTTTCTGCAGCTAAATACAACTCCTCGATTGAAAGTTTTTGTAAAACTGTTAAAATCTTCCTTTCGTCTGTTGTTTGTATGCCTAAAACTTGCCCCAACTCTGTTGTATATCTCCGACTTTTTGCCCAAATATTCAAAGCGCAACCACTTTGCAAAATTGCCTTATGGAAAAGGCCTTTGGCCATTGGGGATAAAATAAGGTAATGTGAAGCAGCAGCTCCGGCACTTTCCCCGAATATTGTTACATTATTGGGGTCGCCACAAAAGTGTACAATGTTTTCCTGCACCCATTTTAAGGCCATTACCATGTCTTTAAGCCCGGCATTGCCTGGCACATCCAAATCTGGATCTTCTAGACTGAGAAAACCTTCAATGTTTTATTTTAAAAAATTTTTGCAAAACGAAGAGCATTTTGTTACCTATAATACCAATTCTGTAATTGATTGTGACTAGAACTACATCTTCAGTCATTATGAATTCAGGTCCGTATATTTCCGAGCTTCCGGAACCGGAAGTAAAGCCACCACCGTGAATCCATACCATTACTGGCTTCAAAAAATTACTCCCTTCTTTGGGTAACTAAAAAATTTTTTTGTTTTGCTGTTTTTCTCTAAATAGTAGTTACATCACGAGTGTAAATATTGAGTGTTAGACAGTCTTCAGAGCCGATCAAACTTTTTAATACAGGGTGTCTAGAAATGCATGGAGTCCCGTCTTGTGTGGCATCGCGGATTCCTGACCAAGGTTCTGCCGGTTGTGGTGCCTAAAACATTTTTTTTTAAACTGTTTAAATCAAAATAAAAATCACCTTGAATCTGAGCGGACCTATTGGCGGTTTAGCATATGGTATTCCATGGAAACAGAAGAAAGCTTCGTTATTAAAATTTTTTCCTACTTTACCACACAGTTTTCCGGTTGATACTTTAACAACAGGTTGCCCCATCTCTGAAATAAATGAAAACTATGGGTTAATGCGACGGTTCCGAAGTTTATTGCGTGACCCTGAATAATCATGCAACTCATTTCATTAGTCGCACACTGTGTAAGGCGATTTTTCTTATCGGCTTATCATTTTTATTTGGGATTTTATGTTTTCTGACAACAGAATGAGTGATAGTCCAAAGATCGTTCTGTTTTGAGATGTGTGATTTTTATTGAATTTTCTAAAGAAATTACAGCATCAAAGATCAAACTTGTAAAGACTGAAATGTTTTTCTTGTTTAAAGAATAACTTTTTCCAATTTTACTCATTGAGATTAATCTAAAAATCGATCAAAATGACCAGTAACTCCCAACAAAATTAGAAATTTTGAAGCTATTTTATCTGTATTATAAGTTGCATATCTAAAGGCGACTCGACTGATTAGAGATTGTCCTTGTTTCTCCGTGATTTCACTAAAGAATACTTAAAAAAAAATTATTATATATTTTTCGCATAATTTTTGATCCAATATAATCAAAATCAGTGTTTTGTTTCTCAAGAAAGGGCTTTTTTTTGACATACATACCTTTTTTTTTTCTTTTTCTAAAATATTTTAATTGGTGATTGATGTCACTACAACAAAACTTGCGTTACCACTGATTATGTAACGATTACACGTGCGTTTCATCCATTTGGTATTTGTTGTAGAGCATTAACCTAATGCGTCGAAATCACAGGTATTTTTTAAATATAATTTGTCACTAAATGGTCTCAAAATTTATTTAAATTGCGTACAGTGGATTCATGTTATAAATATTAGCCCAAAAGTTCATACGTTCATGTTCTGGATTAATATTAGCTGTTATACTCTTTCCGATATCAATAAAATTAATTTCTTCCTTGTTGATGGGTTTCCATTCTGAATTATTTGAATTTGGATTTCCACTTTTGGCAAAATTTGTCCAGATTTTCACAAACCGCTTCATTGATATTTCTTCCAAACTTCCAACTTTTAATTCAGGAGATAATTTTGTTTTGAATAAATAGCCAATGTCATCTCCATGACACACTCCTTGAACATTTTATTACACTTTCCGGTACTCATTAACAATTAAATTGGTGTTTTTACCAGGAGCACTGATATTTCCAATTCTTTTAAATACGTTCAATTTTGTTTCTATGGACATCCGATAATAATAAATTGGAAATTGTGCCGTGACTGCATGTTGACGAATTGCAAAAATTATGTCTCTCAAGAAATATGTGTCGGTGTGAATCTAGAAATATATTATTTTTATCGTTTTCAAGACAAGAAAATCTGGTGTGAACATCACACTTTCCTTATCCTACTTATTTGGAAAACAATCTAATAACCGACAATAATTTAGTGTAACCTGCTGGATTACACGCGAAATAGATCATAATTGTCGCGGGTTTGAGTTTGGGGTGCAGTTTTTTTAGTTCGGTACCCATTATTATTATTATTTTATCACATTTTTCTGTTTAATAAGGTTATACCAGGTGAATAAAAAGTATGGAACCAAACGTTTTTTTGCTTAAACTATTTATTTAAAAAAAAAACTAATTCATGAGTGATAAAGTACTATAAAAATGTGATGATTTAACAAGAATAAAATTTTTCGAAATTTCCTTTTATTTTTGAGTTCTACAAAAAAAAAAAAAAAAATATGGCAACCCACTATAAAATTATTTTTCTCATAAAAGCTAAACTCTAAAGATTACAACTATCTGCTTTATATTTAATTTTTTCAAAAAAATTTTTTCACATAAATTGCAATTTTGACAAAAAAAATCGCATAACTTAAAAATAAAACAAAATTTCGTTCTAAAAATACGATCACATTTTTTATATTACTTTAATTTATATTAATTATTATTTTATAGAGGCAAATGATACAAAATAAAACCGCTTGGTTCCGTACTTTATATTCACCCTGTATATTTTTTTAATAAGGTATAATTTTTTTGGTCTTTTGCTCTTTGCCGCCGAACGGTGCGACCGATTTTTATCAATTGTTTCGTGCTACGTCCCCTTGCTACAAGTAACTTACATATCAATTTGCAAGTTTCTAGCTCTTATCATTCAAATTTCAGCCGATTACAATACTTTTCTTGTAGGATAAGAAATGTAAAAATCTTACCAAGTAAAAATTGTCTAAATTATTTTCCGAATTTGGTTCTCCGTAATAAAAATCTTTAATTTTTTTGGCTATGTTTTTTGAAATATTGGACCCACGTTCGGCTAATGATGGGTGTACAAATTCTTCAAAATCATTCGGCATGCCTGGCTTTTCATTTTTCCTCATCATTTCAACAATCATTCCTTCTCGAGTTGTGTACCCAAAAATCATGGGAAGATGATTATAATGTCCAGATTTGATGATCTTGATTGGTTCATCTGTTATAAATGCTCCTTCGCAAGGATCCTCAAGGACTGGAGCATACACTTTTTTCAAACCCCATATCTACAAAAAAAATTAATTTAGAAATACAATAATCTGAATGAATCAAACCAACATTTGCTATTTTTTCTGAAATTTCCAAAAGTTCATCAACTGGTAAAGTCGACAGACGCTCCAAAATCTCTTTTTCGTTTATTGTTTCCATTCCTAAAGCTGAAGCTAACTGTTTTGAAGTATCACGAATTCCTCTGGCAAATCCATTTAAAGCACACCCACTCTGGGCTATAGCCCTATGAAACAGTCCTGACACACATTTACCAAATTCTTGCACATTTAAACTCACCTTTGGCTAACGGTGACAAAACGAGATAATGGACAGCAGCCCCCCCAGCACTTTCACCAAAAATTGTCACATTGCCGGGATCCCCCGAAAAATGTTTTATATTTTTTTGCACCCACTTCAATGCCATTACCATGTCTTTCAAACCAGCATTTCCGGGAATACCTAAAGACTGATCTTCAAATCGTAAAAAACCCAAAATTCCTAGTCGATAATTAAGAGTGACCAAAACAACATCTTCAGTCATTAAATACTCCGGTCCGTGCAAATCAGTGTTACTTGATCCAGTTTTAAATCCACCACCATGGATCCAAACCATCACAGGTTTCAAATTTTTATCGTTTTTGGGAGTATAAATGTTTAAAAATAAGCAATCCTCTGAACCTTGAGCTGGGAGATTGAAAAGCAGGTCTTTGCTGTAGCATTTATTTCCCTCATTTAGGGCATCACGAATGCCTTTCCAGGGTTTGGGTGGTTGTGGTGCCTATTTATTTTGTTAAAAAAATAGATAAAGAATTATACCAGGTGAATAAAAAGTATGGAACCAAACGTTTTTTGTTTAAACTATTAATTTTTTGGAAAACTAATTGATGAACGATAAAGTACTTTAAAGATGTAATGTTTTATCAAGAATAAAATTTTTCGAATTTTTGTTTTGTTTTTGAGTTCTACAAAAATATTATTTTTTTAAATAGCAACCCACTATAAAACTATTTTTCTCATAAACGTTATGATCTAAAGATTACAACTATCTACTTTATATTTAATTAAAAAAAAATTACATAAATTGCAATTTTGACTCAAAAAATCGCATAACTCAAAAACATGACAAAATTTCGTTTTCAAAATACGATTTCATTTTTTATATTACGTTAATTTATATTAATTATTATTTTCTGAAGACAAATGATTTAAAAAAAAATCGCTTGGTTCCATAATTTATATTCACCCTGAATGTAGGTATTTACTTTGAAACGCAAAGTTCCTATGGGGGCTTGTGCGTAAGGAATCCCTTGGTAACTATAAAATTCTTCACCACTGATATTCCTACAAATTTTGCCGAGAAGTTTTCCCTGTTCGATGGTAACAATTGGGTTAGACATGGTGTCAACTTACACAATGTGTAACTATTTTCAAACTCGGGTCATTAGGTGTAATAATGCTTATCGGTTGGTGATAACATAGAATAATTTATTTATTAGAATTTTTCAAATGATAATAACAAAACTTTAAATTGCATAAAGTGGCTTATTTTTGTATAATTCTTCCCAGAATTTCATTCTTTCTGGCTCGGGATTAACTCTGGCATTTAAATTCTCCCCAATATCGATGTAGTTGAGTTCATTGATCTTTACTGGTTTCCATTGCGGTTCATCTGGGTTACCATTTTTGGCAAAATTTGTCCAAAATCTGACAAAACGTCTCACTGATATTTCTTCCAAAGATCCGGGACTCAAGTCTGGTGAAAGTTTGGTTTTAAACAGGTAACCAATGTCATCACCATGAGCGACACCTTTGACAAATAAAAACAGTTTAAAGATTGTCCAGAATTTTTGACTTTAAGAATGTATTTGGATTAGTTAGTAAATATAGGAAAAGTTGCTAGCCCGTGCTAAGTTCGCTTTAGGGGAAGCACTAAAAATATGCCGTTTTATACTTTTTAATACATAATTAATCCACAACTAATGTATGTTATAAAAATAATTGTTTCAATCTTAATTTAAGGTTGAAATAAAGCATTTTGTGATATTTTCAATCGATTTGGCTCAATTTTAAGCCGGGAATCAGCCTGAATCAAAGTATTTCAACCAAATCCTGGCTTCAATAAGAGTTTTCTTTCAATTTGAGCTAATTTTCATTCAATTTTTCTAGATTTTAATACAGAATTATTTCGAAATTAATTTAAAAAACGGTAAGTTTTAAGGAAAAATTGGTCATGTACAAAATAACAGCTTATTTTGTACTTCCTACAAGATGTTTTTTTGTGGTTTTTGTAAAGGGTGTCCCAACAGGAACTTGGGGATTTAAATTTCACATTATTTATTTGAATAAATCATTAACTATAGCTTCGACCACTTCATATAATTTCGTCATAGAGTTGTTGTGAGTGTTTTTTTTGGTTTTTTGGTCTTGGGAGTTGGAGACGCAACTCTTTGATGTTTTCCAAAAAAAACGCTTTTCTCACCCCTTAGACTCTCATTCATAGAGTCGTAATCGTGACCACCAATCAGTTTCCTCAAATCCTCAATTTTTGCGTTTAATTCCACCTCGATGGCATTTGCCGAAATTAATTTGCATATCTTTGATAAATTTATTAAAAATTTAAAAAAAGATTCGAAATGTTGTTCCACATGTTCCACAAATGTCTTGTTCCACATATAATTTTGAGGTTTTTACTTTATGTTTATGTTAATAAATCGTTGAATTTCTAAATACTACGCATGTTATTTGGAATTTAAATCCACAAGTTTCCGTTGGGAAACCCTTTATCTTAAATAGTTTTCAAGATAACCGCTAGTAAAAATACCACACTCTCTAAAAATTTGCGTAGGGATTATTGTAAAAATTGTAAACATTGTGATTGGGCCATTAAAATAATGTAGGTAAAAAACCAATCACTCTACACCTTTTTCAAGTGTAATTCAGAAACCATTACATGTAATTCAGAACAGTAAATAAATTCAATTTCATGTTACAAGTAATCCAGAAAATATCAATTGTAATTCAGATGAGTAACTTACTGTTATCTCAAAATGAAGTTACACATAACCACGTGTTATTTTACTTTCAGAATTAAATAATTACATAAACTTGCCATTTTGCAAAATAAATAAGATATTTTATTTTCAAAGGAATTTTGGTAATGTAATTTTTTAATAAAAATAACGAATTTTGAATTACAATTGACGAATTTTCAATTACAAATGACAAGCTCTGAATTATAACTAACACTTTCTGAAATACAATTGACTAATCTAAATTACAATTAAAGTTTTCTGAAATATATCTTAGGCTTTCTGAAATACACTTGAAAAATTAGATTAGATTCACTCAAAAATTTAATGCAATGATGTGATTGGCCCGTTTGAGATCGGTCATTATTATACTGTATGTAACCTTGGAAAAACCAATCACTTTAGACTTTAGTTTCAAAAATGTTTTTTCTCTGTTTAGTTCTAATTTTTAATGAGACCTCTATGGGATTTCTCTTGTGAGATTTGTGAGTATTTTGACAAACAATTTGTACCTTACTTTTTGTTGTACACTTCTATTCAAAAAAAAGAAGCTTACAAGTACAGTTGGAGACAAAATACTTTGGTCGTCAATGTCACTTAAGTGACATTAAATTGTAAAGCATGCTTTAGGATTGTTAACCTTATTTTTAGGTACTGTCAATCATAGTCGACAAGTTGTTCATATTTTTGATAGGAAAATATAATAGCTGTCATTAATTTGAAATTGTCATTGATTTTAACGTTAAAGCTTGAGTTACATTGAAGTGTCAGAAAAAGACCAAAGTATTTTGTCTCCAACTGTACTGAGCCCAATTTTAACAGATTCAATTTTAAATTCTTTAGTTTTTATTTTACTTTGCTCCATTTTAAATTCTTTAGTTTTCATTTTACTTTGCTCCGATTGATTTAAAAAGTTAAATGAAAAGTTTAATGAAAATTATTTTACCTGGTGCTGTTATGTTTGAAAGTCTTTTCATGATATTCAAACTAGACTGGACTGACATCTGGTACAAATAAACTGGAAATTTTGAAGTTGCAGCATGGTGTTTAACAGCAAAAATGATATCTCTCAAGAAATAATTATCAGTATGTATCTGAAAAAAAAAATTACTTTTAGAACACTTAAGGTAATATTTGGATATACTATGTAGAAATTGTCTAATTTGTCTTCGGAGTTTGGTTCCCCATAGTAAAAATCTTTGATTTTCTTAGCAATTTGTTTCGAAGTTTCAGAACCTCGTTCATCCTCCAGAGTGTAAGGTATTGCGGCTTCAAAATCTCGAGGCATGGTAGGTTTTCTCGGCTTTATCATTTGCTCAATCAACATTCCTTCTCTTGTAGTAAAACCAAAAATTAAAGGAACTTGATTGTAATTCCCTGACTTTATAATTTTGAGTGGTTCTTCAGCTATGAACGCATTTTGTGACGCCTTTTCAATAACAGGAGCGAAGGGTAGTTTGCCACCTCCATTGTTCAAACCTTCACATATCTTAAACAATTAATTAAGTAATAAATATTTTACCAAAAGGAAAACTTGCTTACTGTTACTAATTTTTCATAAAGTTCAAACAGTTTTTCAGCTGGCATTTGCACCAGTTTTTGCAATATTTCTTTCTCATTTTTAGTGTTCAATTCGGTCGACAAATGAGAAACAATATCACTTCGCCCTCTTGCAAAAGTATTTAAGGCAGTTCCACTTTGTGCTATAGCTCTATGAAAAAGCCCTGAGAAAAAAATATTTTTTTGTTTTAGTTAAACTAAACCTTTAGCAAGTGGTGACAAAACAAGGTAATGTACTGAAGCTGCTCCTGCACTTTCGCCAAAAATGGTAACATTGTTGGGATCCCCGGAGAATTTACTAATATTTTTCTGCACCCATTTCAAGGCCATTACCATATCTTTCATACCAGCGTTCCCAGAAACATCCAATGTAGTATCTTCCAATTTGAGAAATCCAAAAATTCCCAATCTGTAGTTAAAAGTAACCACAACAACATCCTGAGTTAGCAAATACTCAGGCCCGTATATATCCGTATTGCTTGAACCACTCTTAAAAGCACCTCCATGGATCCATACCATCACCGGTTTTAAATGTTTTGAAGACACTTCCGGAGTGTAAACATTCAAATATAGGCAATCCTCCGACCCGATTACATTATAGAAAAGCATGTGTTTGGCATAACACGCGTTTCCCTCCGTTGTCGCGTCTTTGATTCCCGTCCATGGTTCCGGTGCTTGCGGGTCCTTAAAAATCTGGTTAGGCCTGGAGTAAAAACCGGAAAATTTTACCTTAAACCGGAGCTGACCAGTCGGGGGTTTGGCGTAAGGAATGCCTTGAAAACTACAGAAATTTTTGTTGTCAATATTGGTTGAAATTTTTCCCCGGAGTTGCCCCTGCTCTATGGTTACGATTGGTTCAGACATGATGAAAGCAGACCAGGCGTTTAAACCGAAGGTTAGGAAAATAATGATAACAGGAACTGGCATGACACAGTCGAGAGATGATTAAAGATAACACCGGTTCAAAATGTTTACTTTATCTGATAAAATAGTGACTTGCAGGAACAAAGTTTTTAAAAATTATTGCAAAACGCAACATTTTATAACTTTTGTTTATTATTTACATTTCACGCTAAATTTTCTAGTATGTTGATATGTGTACGTAATATAGATAATTTGTACTGTATTTTATTGGCCAAGACAATTTACATGTTAGCTGAAAGTTTACATTCAAATACAATAAGATAATAATGAAACATCGTTTAATGCCATTAATTTGTTCTTCAAAGTAGAGACAAAAGTTAAGCATTTTTTTAATTCTGTTTTTGCGTTATTTTTGATAAGAACTGCAATAATTCAACTTTCTTTAGATACTGTTTTTTCCTAGGAAAATAGGTTTCAATTAATTTTTTGTAATTAATTTATACTTCTGTTACACTGAAAACAATAGAAATGGTATAAAAGGCCGTTAATATGCAATGTGTAAAATAATTTTAATTTAATAATCAAAGTACGTAATTGTTTAATTTTGTACTTTTTTCTTATCTTATATCGTATGACCAAATAAATTTGGTGGCAAAGTACACACTGAAAAAAAAACTCGAGTATTTGCTTTATTCAAAAAAAGTGTACTGTCACTATTTGTCAAATTCAAAATAATGCCAAGTGCCAAAAAAACATTAAAACTAAAGTTACAATCGACAGATCGAATTATGCTTTGATAAATTAATGATGACAGAACAAATTTTTCTGAATAAAGCTGAGATTTAAATTTTGTTTCTCAGTGTTGACTTTGATCATAAATTAATTTGATCACACAATAAATATAATATTGCACAAGCGACATACAGGATGGTCCAAAAGTCTGGAAACGATTTTATTCTGGCGAAACTATCAATTTTTTTTGGAAAATGAATTTGTAGTGTTTAGTGGCTATAAAAATGTTATTAAAAAAATTGATTATTAATTAATTGTTTATACTTACGAGATAAACATAGTAACAATTTTTTTTAAATGGAAACCTACCACAATTTTTTGTTTAGACAACGAGCTTGTTACAGGAATTGATGCTGTGCAATTTTTTTTAAACCTCGCACTTTTTTGTTAAAAATATGTTTGGCTTACAAGAATTAAAGAATTTTTTTGAGTAAACTACCAGTTTTTTTGGAAATAACTTAATAAATGTTTAATGGTTGCAAAGGAGATGTCAAAATATTTTTATTTTAGTTAATTGTTTAAACTTTTGAGATTACCGTACTAATAATTTTTTTCTTAAATAAAAACGGTTTTTTATTTATTATTGTAATTTTTAGGCGTGTTTTGATACGATCTTCTTGTGATTCAAGAACCAACTAAATCGGTCAAAACAAGCTAAAATACTATCAATTTCGATGTAATAAGATAATTTTTTCGTAAGTTTTAAAGAATTTTTTTTTTAAATATTACTTCAGAAATGTCATTAATTGGTAAATTTTTGAGTTGTTTTAACAAAAATTTTAATAATAATTGCGTTTCCATCTGAAAAATATGCTACAACACTCGAAAAGGCTAAGCTAAGCTAAGATAATGTCGTTTTCGACCAAATTTTTTCACATATTTTTTTAAAAATTCGCGAAATAATTCAGTTTTTGATTGAAAAACGTGCAAAATGGTTGAAAATGCAAAAATAGTGTAATTTTAGAAACCAAAAACCTTTAATAAAACAGAAAAAAATTAAGCGTTTGTTTTTTGTTTGGCTTTTTTACAAGATTTTGAAAGCTTTTCCTAGTTTATTGCACTGATTTTATGTGCCTGATTTTTGTTGGTTTATGGGTCTTAACTAATTTTTTCGGCGAATTTTCTGGATTTTCAGCTTATTTTTGTCTAAATATTGATCAAAAACAGGTATTTTCGATTTATATTTGTAATTTTTAAGCGTGTTTTGATAAAATCTTTTTGTGATTCAAAAACCAACTAAATCGAGCAAAACAAGATAAAATAATATCAATTTTGTTGTAATAAGATAATTTTTCGCAAGTTTAACGAATTTTAGAAAAAAAGTTTTTATTCAAGAAAAAAAATATTATAACTTGTAGGTCAAACATATTTAACAAAAAAGTGTAAGGTTTACAAAAAAATTTTTGCACAGCAACAATTCTTGTCACAAGCTCGTTGTCTAAAAAAAATGTGGTAGATTTCCATTAAAAAAAAATTGTTACGATGTTTATCTCTTAAGTATAAACAATTAATTAGTATTAAAAATTTTGAATAGCATTTTTATAGCCATTGCACACCTGTAAATTTATTTGGCAAAAAAATTGATAGTTTCGCCAGGATAAAATCGTTTCCGGACTTTTGGAGCACCTGTATGTTATTTAGGTACAAAAATAGAAATAAATGTATAATACAGGGTGCGCCCCAGAAAACATGGAAAAAATATTTAAAAAAATCTATCAATATAAACTTTCATGTTATGAGAGTTTAGATCTTGTATTTTGACTCTATTTATTTGTGTTGTAAAAATAATTTTACATATTCTTTTGCTATAGACTGTTAGAAGAAAAAATAAAGAAGCTGTATCCTAAATTGTAACTCTGTTTACCGTTATTTGTAGCTTTTATTAACAGAGGTTGTGTATCTTTACTAAATAATTATGAGAAAACATATACAAGATTATCAGTATCATTAAATAGACATAAAAAAATGTCAAATGTCAAAAAATTAATGTCAAAATTTTTTGGCAGAATTTTTTAAACATTTTTTCCATATTCCTAGTATCTAATCTTACTTGAAATTTTTCTCTGGGGCGCGAGTTCTGACACACCCTGCATATTTGTATGTTTTATTCATTGAGATACTTTTGTATTTCATATAAAGTTTTCCCCTTGGTTTCAAAAACAAATTTGTAAATTAAAATCGTGTGAATCAAGGTTGAAGTGGCAAAAAGAAAAAATGGTTTTTCCATTCCGTAACGATCTGACAATTCTTGAAACAATTTGATAACAAAAAGTGTGATAACATAAAGATATCCTTCGTAAAAAATTGTGGCAAAAGTTTTGGCATTCATTGGGAAAAGTTCCCCCAAAATTGATAAAGGCACAGGCGTCAAAAAACTATAAAAGACTGCAAAACCTTCAAGAAATAAAATTGGGAGAACTGCAAAATATTTCGTGTTTATCATATTCTGTGACTGAAAATGTAAGTAAAAGGCGAGGAGAAATAAAGTGATTGAGCAACCAAAAAAAGAAATCAAAAGTAGGGGTCGACGGCCGATTTTCTGAGATACGAAAGAACTCAACAATGCCATAAATAACCTAGTTAGATAATAAATTAAAATTATAGATAATGGTGATAATTGAATGAAAATTTTCTGGAAAATCAACTGGGCGTAAGCATCAAGAGAGGTAATCCCAGTCATTTGTTTACCATTTAGTAAAATAAAAATAATAAATAACGCTTTTCGGTTCGACTTTTGGCTTACTATTTCAATCACATTTGCCTTCTGTTTAATTTGGGTAACAAGAGACTCTTTTAGATTCTGAAACTCGTCAAAAACATCGCGTGTACCCTTCAATTTGGCCAAAGTCTTTTCAGCCTCATCACATTTTTCAATCATTATTAAATAATACGGACTTTCAGGCATCCAAATAAAAGTCAATAAAAAAATAACTGGAATGGTTGAAGAAATCCAAGATGATGTTTTGATCGACACATATGAACCTAGAATATTGATAAATAGAAATCCTGACAGTGAAAAAATTGTAACAAGTGTGCCTAAAAAACCTCTGATTTCTGGATCAGCAATTTCTCCAATATAGTGAGGTATGACACCAATCGCTATGCCAAAAGCAACACCCGATAGAATCCGAGCTGTGCAAAAAATTGGAACGGAATTGGCAAACGCTAAAATCACAGAAGATAAAAAATTGGGCCAAAATGTCAATAGTATAGTTTTTTTGCGCCCAATTTTATTGATAAGAAGGCAAGACACAAGACAGCCTACTAATCCACCAATACTCATGGACATTGTGATCCATGACCCTTCCACACTTGTAATTTTTATCGTGTTGGTACCGTTCAACAAGACAGGAATGTAAACCGAAGTCCAGGCTTCATGAATCCCGGATGATAAAACAGCTAGCGATGCTACAATATTTAAACTAGGAAACGAAAAATTTTTTTCTACTTACAAGTCACAGTTGCCAGGAACTGGTATGAAAAAAACACACGTTTCATCGTAGTTGTTCACTCTTGTGAAATACTTCAACAACATGAAATTTATTACTTGACATGTGAGGTAACGGAAAAATAACTCATGATTTTGTGGGTAATATTTTATTGTAAACTTTCAGTAACTGTAAATACTGTCCCAAAATTGCATTCTTTCGACATGTGGGTAATTTTTCATCTCTAGTCGAGTCCCGATATCTAGGATACAGTTTTGGTCCTTTGTCACCGGCCTCCACTCTACATAATTCAACAAAGGGTCATTCGTATTCGGAGTTGGGTTTCCACTTTTTGCAAAATTCGTCCATAATTTTATAAACCGTTTTATGTAAATTTCTTCGTCACTTCCATACCGGACTTTTTCTGCCAAAAGTGGTTTGAAAATGTAGCTCAAGTCGTCTGCATGAGAAGCCCCAGTAAGGGTTTTTCGCGGCATGAGATTTGCTAACCTCAAAAAAATTTGGTTTAGTCGACCTGGGCCTACAAAGTAAGCTAGAAAATAGAAAAACATGGTTGGATAGAAGAATTTAGGCGTGCACATGCTTTTGAAGAGACTGAAAGGGTGATCTAGGGTCATTTCGTAGAAATAAATGGGTACTTCGGTTTGCTCTTTTTGGTAATTTACGGTTTTGAAGGTTCCGTGTAGGAACATGTTATCGGTTTTGAGCTAAAATCGAGTTTGTTTTTCTATTTTTTAAATATTTTTTGTTACCAAATAAAATTTTTCAATATTGTTTTCCGATCGGTCCTCTCCGTTAAAATAAAAATTTTTAATTTTATTAGCAATTCGTTTGGATTCCTCCGAACCTTTCTCTAGTTTGAGGTAGAAGTAAATCTCATCTTCGAAACTACAACCAACTATATTTTCCCCGAATACTTTTTTTGCAACTTCGGCAAGTATCCCTTCTCTTGAATTATTCCCTATTATTAGAGGTACTTTGTTAAATTTCCTCGATTTAATGATTTCCAACGGTTCTTCCATTAAAAAAGCCGAATCAGTGACATATTTTTCAACAACTGGACCAAATGGTCGAATCCGACTTGCAGTAAATGTCTAAAAAATTAAATTAAATTAATAAAAACACAAAACAACTTTTTTTTGCATACGTCGTCGTATCTATGCAATGCTTTAACTATTTTTTGTGGCGACAAACTTTTCAAATATTCCAAAATTTTTCCTTCATCTCTCTCTTTAAAATTAAGATAATCAGCAATTATGGTACCATTGGTACACCCAATTGCCCAACTGTTTAACGCACACCCACTCTGACAAATTGCTTTATGAAACAATCCTTTGGTTTTTGGGGAAAGGTATAAATAATGAACGGCAGCTGAACCAGCACTTTCGCCAAAAATTGTCACATTGTTTGGATCTCCACCAAAATTTTTGATATTTTTTTGAACCCATTTAAGTGCAAGAACCATATCTTTCAATCCGGCATTTCCCGGCACTTCAAGAGCTGGATTTTCCAAACTGAGAAAGCCTGAAATTTTGTGTTAAAACTTTGGGATAAAACTAACAACACACCAAAGACTCCAAGACGATAATTGACTGAAACGATAACAACATCTTCGGTTATTAAATATTCTGGGCCATACATTTCACGACGATTTGAATCATGCAAAAAACCACCACCATGGATCCAGACCATGACGGGTTTAAGGGTGTTGTTACCATCACTGGGGAGCTGTATTTTAAATTAAAAATATGATAAATTGAAAAAAAAATACTTGTGGGGTGTAAACATTGACATGTAGACAATTATCCTCAGCTCCGACATATCGTTTAAACATTACATGACGTGAGGCACACACTGGGCCTTCTTGGGTTGCATCTTTGATACCATTCCAAGGTTCCACTGGAACAGGAGCCTACAAGAATTACCACAAAACTGGCAAAAATTGAAGTACCGTAAATCGCAGTTCTCCTATAGGAGCCTTCCCGTAGGGAACACCCAAGAAGTGGAAATAGGGATTATCAAAATGATCTTTTCCAATTTTCCCTTTTATTAGACCTTCTTTAAGTGAAACAACAGGATTGTCCATTACGGTATTTGTGATACTGCGTATGGTAGGGTACTAAACTAAAAAATAAATAATGAACTATGCTTGTTTGTAAAAAATTGTGTATGTACGTTTGCAAGCAGGTTTATAAATTGGAAAAGTGTTTACTGGAAAATTTACGTGATTTTTGCTTAATTTACTTTTTCCGGTGCAACATATTGACCTCTAAATCTATTTTGCAAATAGTGATAACACATGTAAAATTAAAAATGAAATAAGTTCGCTGTTTTTAAGTAAGTGAAGCTTCATTTGGTGTAAAACACGATTTTGATTTTAATCGAATCACATTGGTGATACGAAACAATTTATTTAATAGGTTTTATATATTATTATTAGTTTGTCCGTGAGCCAACGAGAAAATTATACTCGATTTCCTACGCAGTATTTTATTTACGATTGAAACCTATAAATAATTTCCTTAGAGCAGAACTAGTGCAAATTACGTTGTACAAATTTTAAAAGAAAGCTTTTTATACACTCACCGGCAAAATTATCTCATAACATGGGAAAAGTGATTTTTTATTGAAATAACGTTTAAAAAAAATGCATCAAAAATTAATTAGTTAACTAGTTAACGTTAAGTTGAACTAAAATTACGACTTAAACTTCAACAATTAAACTACAGTTTAATGATTTTCAAAAGAAACAAAAAAGCGAATTCAGTGCGGATCTTAGATACCTAAGCTTTTGTTTCATTCGGAAGCAACCATTAATACCTAGTATTGCCTCCTCGAGCCTGGAAAGAATCTCAGTTTTGCGAGGAGAATTAAAAAATGCAATAAAAATAAGTGGTTACCATTTAAAATTTCAAAGTTGACGCCAATTTCTCGTAGTTCCGGAAGTTCAGCCATTTTGAAAATATTTTAATTGAATTTAGATTGGTCGATTTGGGTTGTGTACAAAATTTCATATTCCTATCTGCATTAGAAGTTAAAAAATTTCTAATGTAGGCCCTAAAAGAATCACCTTGTATATAAAAGAGTTTCGTGACTGATAACGCATAGCCTAAGCCACTGAAGCTAGAAACATGAAATTTGGAAAATGTGTTTTTTAGAGAGCGTAAAGGTCCACTAAGAAGGGATTTTTCAAAAATCAATTTCTAATGTGATGAAATGGGGTGTAAACTTTTAAACGAAGAGAGAAACAAAAAATGGGAAGATATGTTCCTTAGCGGTTGTAAAGGTGCACTAAGAGACGTGATTTAAAAAAAATAATAAGTAAAAACTTATTTACTCCCTTAGAAAAGGGGGTAAAACGGGGTGTATACGTTTAAACGAAAATAGAAACATGAAATTTGGCAGATATGTTCCTTAGAAGGTGTACAGGTCCGCAAAGAAAGGATTTTTTGAAAATCAATTGCTACAGGGGTGAAATGCGGTGTAAATATTTAAACGAAGATAGAAACAAAAATTTTTTTAATATATGTTCTTTAGCATTAGAGAGTGCACTAAGACGAGGTTTTTTAAAAATAACAATAAAAAAAAACTTATTCACCCATTTAGAAAAAGGGGTACACATTAAAACGAAAATAAAAACTTGAAATTTGGAAGATATGTTCCTTAGAGCGAAAACCAATCTTTAAGGGGGTGAAATGGGGTGTAAACATTTAAACGAAGATAAAATCATAAACTTTGGGAAACATATTTCTTAGAGGTCCGCTAAAAAAAGATTTCTTGAAAATGAAATTCTAAGGGGGTGAAATGGGGTGTAACATTGAACTGAAGACAAAAACATAAAATTTCAGAAACATATTTCTTAGAGGGCGTAGGTAGAGATTCTCCAAGAAAGAATTTTTTGAAAATATATTTATAAGAGGGTGAAATGATTAATAAACGAAGATCGAAACATGAAATTTGGAAAATATTTTTCTTAGGGAATGTAGAAGTGCACTAATCAGGCACTTTCCAAAAACCATCCTATAACGGGGTGAAACATTTAAACGGGTACAAACATTTAAACGAAAACATAAACATGAAATTTAGAATTTTGACTTTTGAGGGTGTAAAAGTGCACCAAGAAGACACTTTTAGAAAATCCGAGGTGAAATGGGCTGTAAGCGTTTGTAACGTACTTTTTGGTCATTTGCTTAAAAATATACTCTCTGCTCCTGCGTTGTTTTGAGTTGACGAATCAAGAAAAAAAATAGATAAACAGACTACCTTCACATTTCTTCTTTGAAAAACAACAAAAATTTATATCGAAAATCTACGTGCTAGTTAAGCCATATTTTTGTTATACGTAATCCGAGTGGCGTAATTCTTTTTTTATTTGAAAGGTACATTATTTCTAAACAATTTTTGTGTTGCCTTGGTTTTAGTAAAAAAATTATTTAAGTTGAAGTGTCATTTTGGTCATTTGTTATTCTTTTTAAAATTTTAATAAAAAAAATTAGGTTTTAGTATCTTTATGTAATTGTCTATGTTTATGTTATTTAACAATAATGTATTTATTATTAATTTACACAAAAAAATCATATTTTCATTGGCGTCGTCAAACTTTTTAAGTTGTGTTAAATCGCTTTATTATGGTCCTGGAGAATCTCAGGTTATTCTTTGTCTTTTTATTACATCCTGTATAATTGCTCTTGACATTCATTTGGAAAAGTTCTCCTACAACAGATATAAGTACAGTAATATCAAAAAGCTGTAAAAAAACTGAAATCCCTTTCAGAAATACATATCAGTACTGTGTATTTCATTCCAGCGAAAGCCTGATTTTTTCACCAAATACAAAATTGCTTTAATGGGTTGGGAGAGTACTAAACCAAGGACCAAATAAAAAATGTTAGTTGATTGCAGCAAAAACTGTACGTGTAGATTTGCAAACAAATTCCTTCTAAATTTGTCTAGTTATTTGAACAAATGTACTCTTTCCAAAAAAGTGAAGCTTTAGTCAAAATATGACTTTGATTTTTAACCAGACAATAAGATAAATAGCAATTTATTTCATAGTTTTTAACTTAATCAACTCGTTCCTATGACAACAAGAAAATAAATTAAACTTATTTCTTGTACAAAATACTTTATTCACGGTAAAAAATTATAAATGCTATCCCAAAATGCCATTCTTTCACCATACGGATTTGTTTTTAATTCGAGTCGAGTCCCTATATCCAGCAAAAAATTTTCGTCTTTGGTCACCGGTTTCCATTCAACGTTTAAAAGCTGGTCATTTTTATCTGGTGTCGGATTTCCAGTTCTTGCAAAATTCGCCCATAATTTTATAAACCTTTTTACATAAATTTCCTCGTCACTTCCAGGCTTGACTTTTTCGCTCAAAACGTTCGTGAAAAGGTAGCTCAAATCGTCGCCATGGGATGCTCCATTTAGGACTTTTCTCGGCATAAGACTTGCCAGTCGCAAAAAAAATGTGTTGAATATACTATCGCGTGTTAGGTACGCCAAAAGATAGAAAATCAGAGTTGGGTAAAACAGTTTCGGGGTGCACAAGCTTTTGAAAAGACTTAAAGGAGTGTCAAGAGACATTTCGTAAAAGTAAATCAGGGCTTGACTGGTTTGTTTTTGATAATTGACTGTCTTGTATGCGGCGTGGAGGAACATGTTGTCGGTTTTAAGCTGAAATCAAATTTATTTATATTTGTTTGTTGTGTTTTTGTTCAGTACCAAGTAATATTTTTCCGCATTTATTTCTTCTTCGCCGTAATAAAATTTCTTTATTTTGTGGGCAATTCGTTTCGACGTTTCTGAACCTCTTTTCACATTTAACCGATAATGGATTTCGTCTTCTAGACTCGAACCTATTATATCTTTTCCTAGTAACTTCCTAGCAGCTTCCGTAAGGATTCCCTCTCTTGAAGTTGTTCCTATTATCAGAGGCACGTGATTGAATTTTCCTGATTTTATAATTTCGAGCGGTTCCTCGGTTAAGAAAGCCGAATCGGTTACATATTTTTCAACAACTGGTCCAAATTTTTGTACTTTACATGCAACAAATGTCTGAAAATCAAAAAAAAGTTTAAAAAAAAACCTATTTGTTGTACATACATCTTCGTATCTGTGTTGTGCTTTGATGAGTTTTTGTGGTGACAAAGTTTTCAAATACTCCAAAATTTTTCTTTCGTTCATTTCATTGTAGTGTAGGTGTTTTGCAATTATTAAACCATTAGTGCTTCCTACTCCCCAAGTATTTAATGCACACCCACTTTGACAGATTGCTTTGTGGAATAATCCTTTGGTTTTTGGGGAGAGGTATAAGTAATGAACTGCAACAGAACCAGCACTTTCGCCAAAAATTGTCACATTATTTGGGTCTCCACAAAAATTTTGAATGTTGTTTTGTATCCACTGAAGAGCCAAAACCATGTCTTTTAATCCGGCGTTTCCGGGAATTTCTAGTGTTGGGTCTTCCAAGCTGAGAAATCCTAAAGTTTTGTATAAAATTTTTAAGACAGAGTCAAAACGCACCAAGGACTCCTAAACGAAAACTCACTGCAACTATAACAACATCTTCAGTTATTAAATAATCTGGACCATACATTTCGCGTTTATTTGTGTCATATAGAAAGCCACCACCGTGGAACCAGACCATAACAGGTTTCAGATTATTGTTACCATCATTAGGAAGCTACAATTTAATTTGAAAAAATGAGTGAAAATGGATCAAATACGAGTATTACCTGTGGAGTGTAAACGTTAACGTGTAAACAATTATCCTCACTACCCACATAAGTTTTAAGCATTAAATGGCGAGAGGGGCATTCTGGACCTTCTTGTGTAGCATCTCGAATGCCTTTCCAAGGTTCCACTGGAACAGGAGCCTGCAAAAGCTATCACAAGTTGCTCAAAAAGCCAAAAATTACCTTAAATCGTAAATCTCCAATTGGAGCTTTTCCGTAGGGAATCCCAAGAAAGTAGTAGTAAGGCTTGCCCAAGTAATCACTGTCAATACTTCCCTTAATTTGTCCTTCTTTAATTGTTACAACGGGATTTGCCATTGCGATACGAGTACAATGAAATAAATTCTTAAAGTGATACCTACATATATATTGCTTGATAAGGCCAAAGAGTCGAGACGCAAGTGATAGTAAGATTATTTAAAAGTTAATGATTCTTTATCAAAAAAATATATAAATTCAAAACAATTCGTCTGGGTCCAGGATGTGATGATTACATTCAGTTGTTGCTTAATTGATCTCCCACTAACTAGTAAGTGGGGGGATTATTTTTCGTTATTAATATTATTATCAATGGTTTTTTTATTGAAAGTTTGTGATATTTCTTTATTAGTACATTTATATTTGTTACAAACAACACGTCAACAAAAAAAAACCTAAACGTTGCAAATGTCGTCCCAAAATTTCATCCTTTCACTTGCCGGATTTGACTTGACTTCTAGTTCCTTACCAATCTTAAGATAAAAATTTTCTTCTTTGGTCACAGGTTTCCATTCAATATTTAAAAGTTGGTCATTTTTATTCGGTGTTGGATTTCCGGTTTTTGCAAAATTCGTCCACAACTTAACAAACTTCTGCACATGTTTCTCTTCTTCACTTTTTGGTTCAAGTTTTCCATTCCAAATTGAGCAAAATATGTAAAAGAGATCGTCGCCATGACATGTGCCGTGAATAGGTTTTACTGAAAGCTTTTTCGACAAGCTTAAGAGCATTGTGCTCATCATGCCTTTACCAAATTTTAAAACCAGAAAGTATAAAGACATTAAAAGGTAAATGTGATTGGAAGAAACTATATTTTTAAGAATGTTTAACTGTGTATCTAGAGTCACTTTGTAGAAATAAATGGGTTTACGACTGGTTTGTTTTTGGCAATAGATACTTCTGTAAATTCCATGAAAAAACATATTATCTGTCTTGAGCTGAAATAAATAATTTTTAACAATAAATATAAAGATGATTTTTTTATTACTTTCAACACTTTGTCCAAGTCATTTTCTGTAGGTTCTTTATTGTCAAAATATTTGTCTTTAATGGAGGCTGCAATTTTTTGGGATGTTTCTGATCCCTTTTCTAGATTTAAATCGTAGTAAATTTCGTTTTCCAAATTAAGACTCCTTGCGTCTTTTTGCACTAGTTTAATAAGTTCAACAAGCATTCCTTCTCTAGAAGTGTACCCCATAATTAATGGCACATGATTAAATCGGCCAGATTTAATAATATCAATAGGCTCTTCAGTTAAAAAAGAACTGTCTGTAACATATTTTTCAACAACTGGTCCAAATGGTCGTATTGTGGAAGCATTAAACGGCTGAAAATATTGAAAATCAATTAAATTTACTTGAAATATATTTAAAACCAACATCGGGAGTTTTTGCTTGTGCATCCACAATTGTTTTCGCTGGCAAAGACTTCAAATATTCCAATATCTTTTTTTCGTCTGTTTCTTTATACCCGAGATTTTTAGCAATTTCCAAAGCATTGCTACAACCCCGAGCCCATGGGTTTAAGGCACTTCCACTGTGAACTATTGCTTTATGAAACAGTCCTTCAGTTTTAGGAGAAAGATACAAGAAATGAACAGCAGCTCCACCCGCACTTTCACCAAAAATGGTAACATTATTTGGATCCCCACCAAAATTTTTGATATTTTTTTGAACCCATTTAAGTGCAAGAACCATGTCTTTSAATCCGGCGTTTCCGGGAACTTCCAAGGATGCATCTTCCAAACTAAGAAATCCTAAAATCTTATTTAGAGTTTCCTACTGATTAAAATTCCCATCGTACCTAAAACTCCTAATCGGTAATTAATTGCAACAAGTACAATATCTTCAGTTATCAGATAATCAGGTCCGTATAATTCTTTATGGTTTGAACCCATTAAAAAACCACCCCCATGAATCCAAACCATGACTGGTTTGAGTGACCCAGAACTGTCATCATCGGGTAACTGAAGTGTAATTGATAAAAAAAAATTAAGTTGTTATATGATATGTTACCTGTGGTGTGAATACATTTAGGTTTAGACAGTTATCTTCACACCCAACATAATTGGTAAATATCATATGGTGGGACGGACATGCTGGTCCTTCTTTTGTGGTGTCCAGAATACGATTCCAGGGTTCTACCGGCACAGGGGCCTATAAAAAATATTCGATTTTTGGACAAAAGTGATTGATTTTGAAATAACATAAAACTAAAATTTATATGAATGGAACAAAGTAGGTACATTTACTCGTACAATTGCGGACACGAAAATTTGGACAATTTGTCATCCTATTGACATAAAAATGTGAAACGGGCCTTATGCAACTAAACTCACTTTCGGTTGTTGTAATTTATATTCTAGCAGCTAGAGAAAAAATGACAACAAATCAAAAACATATATTGCAGGCATTATTGTTTCGGAAAATTAACGCTAAAAGTAAAATTCAAACAAAATTTTGAAATTCCATTTCAAACGCTAATCATAATGACAATAAAGCGTGGCTTACATTGACATTTTTGAACTCACATAAATTTCATGTCCGAAATTGAACTTGATAACATTAAAATTAACGCACTCGCCACGCTTGGAGTTGGGATCATCAGAATTCGACATTTTGCACTACTAACTGCACTAGTTAAATAAATAAATACTTTCGAAAATCTTAACACAAATTTCGATACTGACGCGTGATGTTTATAATCATTGTTCTGATTTCATTAGTTGTAAAGCGTCCTAAATTCCAAATCAGGAATTCCTGTATAATCATACAGGAGAGTTTAAATTTAGCACTTTGACTCTATTTATTTCTGATGGAGAAATAATTTTTAAAATTTTTGGCTACATGCTATTAGAAGAGGAAAAAAGGAAGCTGTATCTTAAATTGTATTTTTGTTTAATGTTATTTGTGGCTTTTATTGGCACAATTTTTGTACTTTTACTAAATAATTATGAAAAAACATATACAAGACTATGGGTATCATTAAATAGACATAAACACATGTCAAATGTTAAAAAATAAATGTCAAAATTAGATAAAAATTGGATAGAATTTTTTAAACATTTTTTACATGTTCCTGGTATCTTATCTTACTTGAAATTTTTCTCTGGGGCGCGAATTCTGACACAGCTTGTATAATCCATTTACTTCCTATTTATAGGGTTGTTCTTTACTCTCGTTTGCGGATAAAATAGTAGGTATATTTTACTTTTACTTCTAATAACATAATGTACTATTATTCGCACCTAGTCAAAATGTTAATTAAAAAATCTGGTGTGAACATCACACGACTTTCCTTATCCAACCTATTTGGAAAACATCCTTACGACAATAATTTATTGTTGGAAATCCGAGTAGCAAACCTAACGTTTGCGTTAGTGCCACATGCCGGATTACACCCGAAATAGATCATAGTTGTCGCGGGTTCTGGGGTCCAATTTTTTTTAGTTCGTCACCCATTATCATTTCTATTTTATCACATTTTACTACTGTTTAATAAGATATATTTCATGATTCTAAATAATTTATATCCCCATGAATTTATTGTATCTTCAACCGTATTATTTTGCGGCCCCTTTACGGCCGATTTTTGGTCTTTGCGGCCGAACGTTGCTACCGATTTTTACCAATTGTTTCGTGCTGCGTTCCCTTCCCACAAGTAACTTACATACCCCATTTCAAGTTTCTAGCTCTTATCATTCTCGAGATATGCTGTTTACAGACAGACAGACACACAAACACACACACACACGACCCAATGGCCCAAACCAACTTTTTGGTGTCTAATTCGTGCAGAAATGTAAAAATATAGTTAGATCAAATTTCAGCCGATTACAATACTTTCCTTATAGGATAAGGAAAGTAAAAAAAATATACCATAGAAGCGCTTTTCTCCTTTTTTCCTTCGAAAACATTCTTATTTAGTTATGACTAATACATTAATTTGTACGTACGAATCAATGCAAACAGCAAATTCACGTTTTATTCTATTTATTTCAACTATAAATAATTCCAATTATACTAATAATAAATTACGACAATAATCAAAAACATGAATATTACCTTAAACCTCAATTCTCCAATAGGAGCTTTAGCGTAGGGAACACCCAAAAAACTATAATAAGTTTTACCCAAATAATCTTCATCTTCCTTGCCTCTAATTTGACCTTCTTCTAGATTAATTACAAGTGATGCCATAGGTATCGCAAGTTGTCAACAAATCTCACTGTTAATTGTTGCTTAATAATTGAACAACTTAAAGCGAGCAGCATCACACTATATTTGCGAATAAGATAATGAAACATATCTTATCTACCTTGAGTGAATTGATGTTTCGATGGAATCAAAATCATGACCGAAAAATTCAAAATCATGACCGAAAAATTGAAACACCTGTGATTAAAAAGGTGCAAATCATTTAGTTCTTTGGTCTATGGACTCCACTGAACGTTTTCAGGCGTTGAGTATACCAGTCTTCCATAATTTGACGAAATTTTTAACTGATAATTTTTCTATACCACCTGGTAGCAATTTTGGACTTAAAAATGACGGGAATAGGTAACCGACATTGTCATTTTGCGGATTTTGCAATTTTCATAAAAAATATTTTTTTCGTGCCCTCGCCGGATTTGTACGAAAGGAAGTAACAAAAAAAAAGGAAAAGTAAAGCTTTGGTTAAATAATTTTGTAAAAATTTATAGATGTGTCGAGGGAAATTTGTTATACAGGAATGTCCCCGGATTGAGTTTACAAGAGAAAAAAAAAATATCTTAGATTTTACGCCAAAACTGCAAAGGCAAAACATTTTTTGCTTTACCTGAAACGAGCAAATCTGTAATTAAAAGTTTATTATTCTAACTCAGTAGAAAGTAGAGTTCATTTTTCTCTTGATTTTGGATCTAGAATAATTTTTCTTTGGAAAACATAATTTTAAGAAATAGCAACTCAAAGAAACAGCTTTAAGGTAAAAACCAAAGTCATTTTTAAACAAGAACTTTCATTATTTAATTAATAAATTAATTGTTAAAGTGACATATAGTTGCCAAATAAATAAAACCGCCAATGTGGTAGGACTTAAAAGCAGAGAAAAATTATTCCAAGTTCAGAATCAAAAGAAAAATAAACTTTTCTTTTCATTGAATCAGAATAATGAAGTTTTAAGTACAAATTTGTTTGCTTTGCAGTTTTGGCGTAAAATCAATGAGAATTTTTTTTCCTCTTGTAAACTCAATTCGGGGACACACTGTAGATAAACCTGCTCTGTGCAGTGTTGCTTTCTGGTGGAAAAAACGAGCAGTTAGGAGTACAAACGGTAGTGGATTATGCTCTGCTAATTTTTCTCTGAGAAATTTTAGTATGATACATCGGGAAAAACTTTTAACTCAAGATAGAAGTTGTTACAAATCATTGTCTCAATGCTCGTATGCAATAAAATCTAACCTGTCTTCTACCCTGAGTCGATGACATCTGTCTCTCCAAAGTGATTTAGAATTTTTGAAATGGTAGATGAGTTGCTCTTAAGCTTTGAGCAATGGATTGTTGAGATTTGTCTTTTTTATCGAAGAGCGGCACCGGTTTTTTTTTTTTTCAAATTGTAGCTTCTATTTTACTCGAATATAATAATAACAGTCTATTTTTACGCCATACAACGTTGATAACTAAAGAAATATCACAATGACTAAACAGAAAATACATAACATTGCTATTAACATTTAACGCGGAGGGTATTATGAATGTTTTTTTTATAAAAATTTGTAGAAAATATTTCTTTATTAGTTTTATTACATTTTTTTACAAATAATACATCAACAAAAAAAAACACTAAATGTTGCAAATATCGTCCCAAAATTTCATCCTTTCACTTGCCGGATTTGACTTGATTTCCAGCTCCTCACCAATCTTCAGATAAAAATTTTCTTCTTTGGTCACAGGTTTCCATTCAATATTCAAAAATTGGTCATTTTTATTCGGTGTTGGATTTCCGGTTTTTGCAAAATTTGTCCACAACTTAACAAACTTCTGCACATGTTTCTCTTCTTCGCTTTTTGGTTCAAGTTTTCCGTTCCAAATTGAGTTAAAAAGGTAAAACAGATCGTCACCATGACATGTGCCGTGGATAGGTTTTACTGAAAGCTTTTTTGCCAAGTTTAAGAGCATTGTGCTCGTCATGCCTTTACCAAATTTTGATACCAGAAAGTATAAAGATATTAAAAGGTAAAGGTGATTGGAACAAACTGTATTCTTGAGAATATTTAACTGGGTATTTAGAGTTATTTTGTAGAAATAAATGGGTTCACTACTGATTTGTTTTTGACTGGAGACACTTCTGTAAATTCCGTGAAGAAACATCTGTCTTGAGCTGAAATAAGTCATCATTAACAAAAAATATTTTCATGATTTTTTATTACTTTCCACACTTTGTCCAAGTCATTTTCTGTTGGTTCTTTATTGTCAAAATATTTTTCTTTAATGGAGGCTGCAATTTTTTGGGATTTTTCGGATCCCCTTTCTAGATTTAAATCATAGTAAATTTCGTTTTCCAAATTAAGGTCACTCGCCTCTTTTTGCCCTAATTTAATAAGTTCAAAAAGCATTCCTTCTCTAGATGTGTACCCCGTAATTAGTGGCACATGATTAAATCGGCCAGATTTAATAATATCAATAGGTTCTTCAGTCAAAAAAGAACTATCTGTAACATTTTTTTCAACAACTGGTCCATATGGTCGTATTGTGGAAGCATTAAACGGCTGAAAATATCGAAAATCAATTAAATTTACTTTAAATGTATTTAAAACCAACATCGGGAGTTTTAAGTTGTGCATCCACAATTTTTTTCGCTGGCAAAGATTTCAAATATTCCAATATATTTTTTTCGTCTGTTTCTTTATACCCGAGATTTTTAGCAATTTCCAAAGCATTGCTACAACCCCGAGCCCACAGGTTTAAGGCACTTCCACTCTGAACTATCGCTTTATGAAACAGCCCTTTAGTTTTAGGAGAAAGATACAAAAAATGAACAGCAGCTCCACCCGCACTTTCACCAAAAATGGTAACATTATTTGGATCCCCACCAAAATTTTTGATATTTTTTTGAACCCATTTAAGTGCAAGAACCATGTCTTTCAATCCGGCGTTTCCGGGAACTTCCAAGGATGCGTCTTCCAAGCTAAGAAATCCTAAAAACTTATTTAGAGTTTCCTACTGATTAAAATCCCATCGTACCAAAAACCCCTAATCGGTAATTAATTGCAACAAGTAATTGTACTTGTTCTTCAGTATCTTCAGTTATCAGATAATCAGGCCCGTATAATTCTTTCTGATTTGAACCCATTAAAAAACCACCCCCATGAATCCAAACCATGACTGGTTTAAGTGATCCAGAATTGTTATCGTTAGGTAACTGAAGTGTCATTAATAGAAAAAAAGTTGTATGTTGTAAAAAAATGTTACTTGTGGTGTGAATACATTTAGGTTTAGGCAATTATCTTCACACCCCATATAATTGGTAAATATCATATGACGTGAGGGACATGCTGGTCCTTCTTTTGTGGCGTCCAAAATGCCATTCCAGGATTCTACCGCCACAGGGGCCTAAAAAATATTTCATATTTTTTAACAAAATTGACTGAATTGAAGATGGTGTAAAATTAAAATGTTCATATATGAATAAACAATAGTCGTATCATTGTCGATTCTTATTATGCCCTTGGTGCAGGCAAGGTTTTTGCATTTTGCGTCTTTCAAATAAGAATTTATAATATTTTCAGCAAATTTGGTGTACAAGAGATTAAAATAATTGCTTATTTTGTTGTGTATGGGCTATAAAAAAAAGCCAATTTATGCCCGCTTTTTGGTGCTTAGAAACAAGTTTATAGTTCGCCATGCTTCAATGCGTTGTACAAATATCTTGATAATTAATCACATTCATTAAAGGTAGCAAGAAGATCCAAGAAGAAGTACTGAATTTATTTAACGAATAACGTAAAATATTTGTACTACCGAAATTAAGTGAATTTTTTTTTATAATTTTTTACTGGTGTTCAAATATTAACTAAACATATACCTAGAAGCGGTTTTCATTCTATCACCTTCAAAAACACAGTATAATTAATTTATGAGTAATAAATTAATTTGTGCGTACATTTCAATGCAAACAACAAATTCACGTTTTATTCTATTTAAATAAATAAATACGTAATTCCAATTATACTGATAACAAATTTCGACAATAAACAAAAACATGAATATTACCTTAAACCTCAATTCTCCAATAGGAGCTTTAGCGTAGGGAACACCCAAAAAACTATAATAGGTTTTACCCAAATAATCTTCATCTTTCTTGCCTCTAATTTGACCTTCTTCTAGAGTAATAACAAGCGATGCCATTGTTTTTTTTTTATTTGTTTAGATCGCGAGTTGCGACTGTTTATCTCACCAAAACAAACCTCACTGATGACTTAACTTGTGGATGGAGGGACATTATATGCGACTTAGATGTGGTTAATTTTTCATTCTACGCGTGTGGATCAATTGATAATACGAAAAACGTATTTATATCTGTCTCTTTTCAACATTTGTAAACAGCTTTGTTGCTCTCTCGCTACGTATTCGCTATTTATGTCAGTTTAACACATGCCATTAAAGTAAAGCAAAAGCAGGGCTTACAGTTGGGGCAAAACAATATATTTATGACAAATAAATTAGAGAACGATAGCTAAATAGTCAAGATCAAAATAATACAGTTTTTTATTATTTAAAACTTCCTACATGTGAAAAATTGTAGTAGCAATAAATACCATTGGTATTTCGGCAACCTCGCAAACTTTCTATGACCATGTTGTGTAAGATACAATCAGCGTAGAAAAGATTGTCCTCCTAATAAACCGCCCGAACCCTTAGAGGCTGAACCCATAAACCAGAACAATAAATCTTTTCCATTGTAAACGTCATTTAACAGTATATTTAGTTTGTAATGAAGTTTAGTTACCGATTTTACTTTCAATTGAGTAGATAATTAAAAAAATATTTTAAAAATTCATAACTTTATACCGCAATTAAAAGTTAAATTAAAAAATTATTTTAATGAATGTTTGATGTTATTTACTTACTAAGATAACAAGTAAATGCCGTTTTAAATGTATAATAAAATAAACAATATTATTATTAGTAATATCTAATAAAAACCATTTATTGTTAGACATTAAAATGACCAAATCTAACCAGAGGCAATTTAACATAACTCTTTAATTTATTGATAGCTTAATTCTGTTTAATAAAGTTACATTTGACAAATTAAATTCTTTCATATCTTTTTTATCCAATTCAACAAACACATCGATTTTCTAAATATTTTACAATTTAATTTTGCTATAATAAACAGAAGATAAAATATTTAAAAAAAAGTAGATTATGTATTATGTTGTACGTATTTTTTTCTTACTACAACAATGTTTGTTTTATTCGTATTCAAAATTAATTTGCAAATATTATTGTATTAAAGTTAGAAGTATTTTTTTGGTAATAATTTGTTTATTAATAGGGTAGACAGTTCTCCAATGGCTAGGATTTTTTTAATATACAAAAATTAAAATTGATTAATTTAGTTTTAATAAAATAACTGAACAATTATTAGCAAAAACAAATTCGTAAATTTGTTACATTTGTTTTGCGATTGCAATATCATGGTTGCAAATATCTCACCTATTAATTATTGTTTTTCAGATAGTTGTTCTTTAGTGTATTTGACGATTTGAGACAAGTGTTTAAATAGATAAGTCAAAAAGATTATCAATTTTGATATGAAAAATAAATCCTCTTTAACACGTTTTTTAGATTTTCAAAACGAAATCAAAGACAAATCAGTTATAATTCAAGCCGTACAAAGAACTGGCGTGTGGGAAAAAAATATTTTTGAATTTGGTATCATCAAAATGTCAAAAGTTATCAAATCTCTCTATCAACAGACGGAGGTCAAATTGAATTCTTGATTCGCATTGAGTCAACCTGTATTTATACAAAATAAATACATACACACATAACTTTACGAGGCTTGTGCCTAATGTACGCACCCAAATTTACAAGAGTCACAGAACACTGGATACAAAAAATTCACATTAATTATATAATTTTTGGAAACCCATGACAAACTAATCACTATTTCATTATTAATTATAAACTGCAGTTTTTCAGAAACAATTATCATTTGTTCTATCAAGAGACGGCATGAATATGATATGATATATAATATATATGATATACAGGGTGTTTACAGTCTTGGAGTCGAAATTTGACCTAGTAATAGAAAAGTACAGAAATACTGTAACCGAGAAAAAAGCTCACACAATTGTTATTATCAAGAATGTTATCCATGATAATGAAAGAGAAAAGTCACTTCATAGTTTTGACACTGTCATCATTTGATTCATCATTTGATTTGCTTTTGCTTTAGTTTTTATCAAAATTCGAAGATCTTCTGTTTAATCTCTTTCAGCGAATGGTTTCCAATAGGTTTGATTCTTAATTTTTTTCTAAATTTATAAACATGTATGGCAAGATATTAAAATAATAAATTGATTGTCGTGATTATGATTTACGGTGAAACACAAGGTAATGATACTAATGGCCATTGTCGCAGCCGAAGCAGCAGTTCTCAAACAAATAGTGTAAAATGAATAATTTCCTTTAACAACGTGAATTTTTGTTTTATATAGCGTATTAGTTTTCTTTTACCGTGAATATCATCTCATTGAAATTTCAACCTCAAGACCGTAAACATCCTGTATATGATTGTAGTTTATCTATATTAATCACTAACTAACTAAAAACGTTGTAATTTTTGAAAGGGTGAACAAACTAGAGAAGATCATCCAGTTTTTCAAAATTTGTAATCGAGTTCGTATCGGAATATATATTATTGATTGCATCTTACAGGCGCAGGCCTCGTAAAATTATGTGAAACACCCTGTATAATAGGTATAAAAATGAACTGTAATAGCACATATCTTATCCACCTTGAGTGTTTTGATATTTCGGTAGGATCAAATTCATGACGCGTGTATTAAAAAAGGTGCACTTAATTTATTAAAAAACTTTTTCTTAGGTATAATAAACTTTAGTTAAATACTATAAAATCAACTGGAGTAGATCGTATCCCAGAACTGCATGCGTTCAAAATCAGGATTAGTTCCAGTCTTCAGTTCTTTCCCTATATCTATGAAGTGATTTTCTTCTTTGGTCACTGGACTCCACTGAACATTCATCAACAACTGATCGTTTTCAGGCGTTGGGTTTCCAGTCTTTGCGAAATTTGTCCATAATTTGACGAATCTTCGGACTGATAGTTCTTCTATACTATCTGGTTGCAATTTCGGACTTAAAAATGACGGAAATAGGTAACCGAGATCGTCAGCGTGACACACACCCGTTGGTCGATTATTCGGTAAGGAGTTTGCAATTTTCATGAAGAAATTCTTCTTTATGCCTTCACCGGATTTGTACGAGAGGAAGTAAAAAAGGAAAAGAACAGGTAAGGCTTTGGCTGTGCAGATCGTTTTGTAATAATTTAGAGATGTGTCGAGGGACATTCGATATAAATAAATCGGCTCTGTGCTGTGTTGTTTTTGGTGGTAAATACTTCTGTGGATTCCGTGAACAAACTGAGTGTCAGTTTTAAGCTAAAAATTTTCAAATTAATCTTGATTTAAATCGATTTTGACTATTTTGTTACCAAATACATATTGTCTATGGTTTTCTCGGAAGGAGTTTCCTCACCGAAATAAAACTTTTGGATTTTGTTAGCCACTTCTTTCGATTTTTCTGATCCTTTTTCCAGTTTCAAGTCGTAGTGAATTTCGGTTTCAAAATCTGTTGTAATTTTGGCGCCTGGTTGTAGTTTCCGGACCGCTTCGAAAAATATACCTTCCTTTGAAGCATAACCCATTATTAATGGTACATGGTTAAAAGTACCAGCTTTGATAATGTCAATGGGTTGCTGAGAGAGAAAAGCAGGCTCATTTGATGGTTTTTCCACAACTGGACAAAAAGGCCGTGTGAGATGTGCCGTAAAATTCTGAAATTTTTACATTAAATTCGAAAACACCTAACTGAATTAAACAAGTACATCTAGGGGTTTGTGTTGTGCTCTGATAAGTCGGTGTGGAGGAAGTGTTTTTAAGTATTCTAAAATCTTCTTTTCGTCTGTTTCTTTGTACCCCAAAGCGTTGGCCAAAACTCTCCCATTGCTGGTACCTTGAGCCCAACAATTCAAAGCACTTCCACTTTGACAAATCGCTTTGTGAAACAACCCTTTCGACATTGGTGACAGATACAAGAAGTGAACTGAGGCAGAGCCTGCACTTTCCCCAAAAATAGTGACATTATTGGGATCCCCACCAAAATTTTTGATGTTTCTTTGAACCCACTTGAGGGCGAGGATCATATCTTTCATTCCTGCATTTCCTGGAACTCCCAAAGACGGATCTTCCAAACTGAGAAACCCTGAAACAGTGTTTGTTTATAAAGCGTAATAATAAATAAATCAAGCGTTATCAAATCCGCTTCAGATAAACTTATTTGTTTAAATAATTTTCGTCAATTACGTCGTGAATTTTATCTCAGATTCTTCAATTGACGACATTTATTACAAAACCTAAACATGCAATTGACCCCAATTAAAACATACCAAAGGCTCCTAAACGATAGTTAATGGCAACCAGGACAATGTCTTCAGTCATTAAATATTCGGGGCCGAAAAATTCGCTTTTGTTTGAGCCGTACAAAAAGGCACCGCCGTGAACCCAAACCATGACGGGCTTAAGAGAGCCATTTTTATTTTCAACCTGTCAAAATTTTTTCATTAAAAATGATTTGTAATTGGAAGAAATATTACGTTTCGGGTGTACACATTTAAATTCAAGCAGTTTTCTTCCGACCCGATTTGGTAAGCAAAAAACATGTGTTTGGAGGGACATTCGGGTCCTTCTTGTGTTGCGTCAAGGACTCCATTCCAAGGCTCTGCTGGGACTGGTGCCTGGAAATATAATTTATATTTTTTTATTAAGGTTAATAAAGTATTTGCTATTATATTGTTTGGCCTTCGTGTCGTCAAATAATAATTAATATACGTCAGAGATAATTTATTAATTAGAAAACGACATGGTTCTTCATGACATTGAATGACTTACTCTGTAATTATACCTAATTATTACAAGATTTCAGTTACAGTGAAATTACTGTAACTGATAAAATCTTATTCCTTGACTAATGAATCATGGTTGACTTCTTTGTACTAATAATTAAAAAAAAAATCCTTCTTGATAATTTGCAACAATAGAAGAGTGACAAATTTCATATTCGCTAAAAATTGATTGAGTTGTGACTCATACTGTTATCGATTTTGCCAACACACACATTTCTATTATTATCTTTACTATTGTCACAATGATAAATTAACACACCACCAGATAAAAATAAACAATCATGGTACACTATTTATTTTGAAAATTTTTCAATAAAATTATACAGAGTGTTTGTTTTTTGAGCTCCTCCAAGATGGGATGTCAGTTATTATAAGAAGTCGGTTAAATTAGGGCAAAGTTGTGCATTTTTATGTTGAACAAGGAAAATTTAATGTGTAAGTTTTGGTTTTTGGGAAAAAAAACTGAAATTTGTAATTTTTGATTTTATTTTTTCAGGCGAAAACTAAAAGACCTAGACGTTTTTAACTTGGACGTTCTTAAGACACTTTTTTACAAGGAATCTAAATCTGTCATCGTATTTTCCAATATCAGAGTTACAACACTCAACTTTAGATTTTTTTATGGACGCCATATTTGGTTTCTGTTTTTTTGAAAGTCAAAAATTTTTTTAATCCGGTACATCTGACACTTTTTTAGTCTCCCCAACTGTCTTTTGTAGCACGATGTTTTGAAAAGTCTGGATTGACATTTTTTTAAATTTAAACATTGCTTTAAGAAATTTTTCATGATCGTTCCCTTAGATACTTAAGGTGAAAAGTGAAGTAAGTATATAAATTTTTCAATTTATATTATACTCAGCTTCGCTTCGTGTCGCAAAATTTGATCTCAGACCTGAAAAATAATTTGGCAGCGCACTTGTATCGAAAATAACTATTTAATTTTTTTTTGCAAGTCTTGAATTTTTTTTTCAGTACATCTGACACTTTCTTCGTCTCCCCAACTGTCTTTTGTAGCACGATGTTTTAAAACGTCTCGATTGTCATTTTTACTACCAAATTTAAACATTTCCCCTCTTCTTTTGAAAATCAAAAACTCAATACATTTAACTCTTTCTTTTTACTTCAAGCCAAAGTAATCCGAAGTAACCCAAAGTGGCCTAAACTGACCTGAACCGACCTGAAGCTACTCGAAATGACCTAAACATTATTTTTTACAATCTAAAAGATATTTTCCTAAATAAAAATGAAACTCTTAATCAATTAACAAACTAAATTTTGAAGGTATTGCATTCGAGCACTTTGTGTTGTTTTGTTCTGCGAAGAATAAATTCTAGTTTATCACGTTGTTCCTATTTCAAAAGCTTAGTTATTAAGACGGCAAGCTTGACGGAAATGTGACTTCCAGATCCAAATTGAACAGAACTGTAAAAATATAGTTTGTTAATTAAAATTGTTGATGTTTTTCCTAAGTACTCTTTGCAAAACTCTTCCTTTAAATTTTGATTAGCATCATACATTGTAATCAGTAACAAAAAGACTTTTCAAAATTACAGAAATCAAATGTGACGTCCATAAAAAAATCCAAAGTTGCGTTTGTATTTTCCAAGAGCGCCTTGGAAAATACGATGACAGATTTAGATTCCTTGTAAGAAAGTGTCTTAAAAACATCCTAGTTAAAAACGTCTAGGTCTTTTAGTTTTTGTCTAAAAAAAAATAAAAACGAAAATTACAAATTTCCGTTATTTTCTAATAAGTAATTCAAAAACTAAAAATGACACATTAAATTTTCTTTCAGATTAGTGTTCATCAGCATAAAAATGCGCAACTTTGCCCTAATTTAACCGACCTCGCATATTTTATAATAACTGTGATCCTTATGCTGGAGCTCGAAAAACCCTGTACATAAACACCAGTAGTAAATTTATTTGTATTTTTGACGTTGGCACAGAAATTAAATCGAGAATTAAATATTAGTTATAAGAACCTGTTTTAGAGAGTTGAAATCCAAGGTTATAGTTTCAAAACTGCAAATTTTGGAAGGTGATAAAATTATTTAACGATTGTTAAATCAAGTTTCAAATATTTTGTTCCAATCTTTTGATTTTTGTTGCAGTTTTCAAGGTTCATAACCATAACCAATTGTAAAATAACGCATTGATCACGATTTAATACAATTTTTAGCACCTTGATCTTGTTTTTGTTAACCTTGAGAACCTTGCTTTGTTGATTTTTTAAGTTTTTATTGATAAACAAAATCAATAAGAGATACAGACTTAATAAATTAAACTGCTCCATAAAAGTTAAGTAAGTGTGCAATAATTACAATAATTAAAAGTGAGATAAAGGATAATAACTTTTTAATTTTTTGATTTTACTGGATAATGCTTAGAAGAATAAAATTTGTTTGTTGTAAAAATAATACTTCTTTAACTTTTGTGGAGCAGTTTATTTGTAATTGGAAATAAATAATAAAATGTAACTGATTTTTTTAATGTAGTGATTATCTTATTTATTAGTTCATGAATTTCGATTTGAAATAACTGGTTTTTGAATGAGCTAACAGCATGGGCGTCGTTTGAAGGGGTACGGTGGGGCATAGCCCCCCCCCCCCTGGAAGTTAGCCTAAGACATTTTTTCGGATAAGTTTTATTCCGTTAACGGTAAACAATTTTTTTTCCAATTTTGTTGTGAAAAGCAACCATTGTGATATGTCATTTTAGTTGTCAAATGTGTTTAATTTTATCACTAGTGTTAAAAAGTGTGATATAAAGAAAACAAATAACACTATTTTCATAGCAACGCCACGATCTAGTATGATTTTGGAAAATTATTAAAATCACAGATTTTAAATTCGAATTTGATGCCTATGCTTTTCACAACCAAATTGGAAAAAATCTTGTATAAAACACGATTCAAAATGGCTGTTTTTTGCACACGTCTAGTAAAAAACAAGCTCATTTTGCAATTTGTGTTTTCTGAACATTTTTTATTAACATTTTTTTACTTTTATTGGTTGAGAAAAACGAAATTTAAAACTTTTGTTTCTTTAATTTTTTTATTTCTATTGATTATTGTTTTTTTGAATGTATTTTATTTTATGTTTTGATTTCCAAGTGTATTTATTAGTTCATGTTATTTACTGATTTGTATTATTTTATGCTTAACTTTTATAATTTTTATATTTTTTTAACTTTTACACTTTTATACTCCAATTTATGGTTTTAGAGATTTGTGTCTTATGGTTTCATTTATAATTTCCCTTGGAAAAAATACGGTTTTATGTTCCTATTTCGTATAACATGTTTTTGTGTTTGTAATAAAATATTATGTATTAAACTACGATGAGGTACCCCTTTCTAAAAAAAATTGTAACGACGCCCATGGCTAACAGTAACCTTAATTATCCAAAAAATATGGTGAAAAAAATTTATTCAAGTCGCATTGTAAGCAATTTTAATAAAATTGCATTTAACCAAGGTTTGTCCCACTTGTACAAATTAAGACCTACCCATTTAATTAATTAATGAAGGTTACCTATGGTCAACACCAGAGTCAACACGTTTCTCGGTCAATAATCTCTAGTAAATTGCTTATAAAAAAATCATTATGGGTGATTTTTTCAAAAAAATGATAAGGTTTATCAAGCATAATAAAACTACCTACAAAAGCCATTAAAAAGCTTCGATTAGCTTATCGAACGGATACACTTATTGTTACCCTTGGCAACAGAAAGATATACAACATCCGTCAACGAAAAGAATTTAGAGAAAAATCCATTAACTTGAATTAATAATTACACTTTTGTAATTTACATTTCAGTGAGTTATTTTAAGAATTAATGAAAAAAAAAATCAAAGTTGAATCAAATTTTAACTTACCTTAAATCTCAGGTCTCCAACTGGTGGTTTAGCATACGGTATCCCCAAAAAACTGTAAAACTTGCCCCCTTGATAATTTTCAGCAACTTTTCCTTTAACTTGACCCTCCTCTACTGTCACAATTGGAGCTGTCATTTTACTGATATAATTTACCGATCCACTGTGTGCACACTGTAATATATAACTGTTACTGGTGATTCTTAACTGGTTAGCCGAAACAGAGGTCGAAACCACGTGAAATCGGATGTGGATAACATTGGTTGGCGCTTATGTGCGTTATCTATTTATAAAACTTACTCGCAAAGGTGCCCATTTCAGTTTTGAACTAACTGTGGATGTGGAAAATTTGCTATTGCACCATTTCAAAACCGAAGGATATCTGTTCGCAATTTTTAATAACATGCTTGATTCGGTGTGTAAAATCAAACTGTTGAAAGATAAAATCTTGTCTGAGGGTTTATCGCAGAAATACAATCAAAGAAAGCAAAAAACTTATCGGTATTGATTATTGACGCGTGATTTGCTTCTTGTGTTTATAAACTCTGGCATGTGCAAGGCTCTTGTGTTAAAAAAGAAAATAAGACTATTTCTGGAGCTATTAAGAATCACAAGTTTCAACGAGAAACAAATTAAATGAATAAAAAAATGTTTAATTCGATTCCTTTTTTTACAAAAAATTAAAAAAATAGGTGGTATAAAACTGCATTTTTGTCAGTTTTGGTAAAGTTAATGTTCTCTCTTACTAGATTGGGGAAAAAATAACAGACTCACACTTGTTCTTATTTTTGAACTGACAATTTTTTGACACCTTTGACAGCTACTTCAATATAAACATAAAATTTTTATTGTTGAAAATTTTGCAACGATTTATTTTCATCCGGATAATAACAAACTTATACAAAAGCACAGATTAGGTAAACAATGATAAACTGTTTAGATAAAAAGACAAATTTATTTGTATTAGACAGATGCCCGATGACTTGACTAAAATTTACTAAAATGAGGCCAATTTGGGAGCTGCAAGAAATTGTTGCAATACAGGGGTTATTTTTAACCGTAATTTGGAAAACTAATTATCTATTACATTTTAATTTAGAAAATGCATGGTGCATTAGCGTAAAATTTATTTTGAAAAAAATTCACAGTTTCATAAATGTGGGCGGAAACACGTAACATTGTTGTAACACAAAAATATGAGCACATATTTAGATTAATTTAATTACTGATAAAATGGATTAAATTCCTGTTTTGCACATTACAAACATTGGAACTTTTTAATAAAATACGTAAAGTACCCAGCACGTGATTCAAATTAAAAAAAATGGATTGTTTCTTTTCCATTATAACCCAATCAATAATTTTTAATCGACTCTTATTCGACATTATCTACATCCTCTTAATGCAATCTGTATGTTTTGACTATGAGAATTTTGTTTACATGTCTGCAAGCAAAATTGATGTCTTGTAACGTCATTACTTTATCTAAATATTTTTCGCGTAAATTTACTTTGACACACTTAAGAGTAACTTTGGCAAATGCTAAATAAACGCCAGTGGTACTTGAAAACATTGTGGTTTTTTCTAAAAAAAATTATAATAGTTATTTATTCGACGAGTTTGAGTGTAAATCGGACGCATTATTTCACCGAGTGAATTATTAAATCACGAGTGCAACGAGTGGAATAAAGCGTCCGATTTACACTCAAACGAGTGGAATACAACATTTTATTCTTCGAATTAGACTCAACAAGGCTTAAACTTGCTTTAAATCTGTTAAAAATAATCTGACGTTTCGTATTGAGAAATGCCAAACAGTTGTGAAAACTTCCTTACACGGGAGAAAAACCGTAAATTTTGACAGTGTCGAAGAATAAAAAATTTGCTTATTCATTAGGAAAATTATGTAATTAATGAATGAATTAATTAATTAACTGAAGCTGATATCATTTTGCTTACGTCATCCCAGAATGGACTTTGAGCTTACGTGTTATCAGCGTTTTTATGATATGTTTGGAAGAGATGTTTTTTTGGAGGAAATCCGGGTCTGCTAATTAATCATCGAGGAAAACAGAAATAAACCGAAAATTTCTGTTACATTTATTAAAATAATAAATTTTTAAAGAATGACTTGTCTATTTTTATTTATTCTTAAAATAATGGTAATTACACAGAGCGACAAAAAAGTCATGTGACAACTTGACAAATTATATATCATTTTGTTCGTCTCAGTGAAACAAATCAAATGCACTAAAAAAAATTAAAAAGTCCACACACTTTGAACTAAATTTTTTTTTCTAATTTAAATGAATTTGAAATACTTTAATTTAAAAAAATCATTACTCAAAAATTATAAGGCCGATTTCTTTCAAATAAAAACTATTCTAAAGGGATAGACTTGCCCTTTAGAATGACATGCAATTTGAAATTGAATATTGGCGAACTTTTCTTCAAACAGTGTTCGAAGAAGTTCGAAGTCAGGGCCGCCGCAAGAGGTTTCAACGCCTGCGTGCAAATTTGAATTTGGCGCCCCCTTTTTTTGTTAATAAAGTATGAGTATTCCTTTGTACCTATAAAAAATATATTCACAGAGTTTTGTTAAGATTAAAAACTAAAGAGAATTTTTATTAAATTTGTTTATCAAGAAGTGTCAATAAATCAAAGTAATTAATTAAAAAGTATTTAAAATGTTGTTTTCTAGAGTTGTAAATAATCAAATAAGTTTTACATTGAAAATTTTACTTAAAAAAACTGTACTTTTCTAAATTTCATACTACCTATACAGTCCCGTTTAATCAAATTTGATAAGACCAAGAAGAGGACCAACGCTACGAAATAAAAATTCGGTTCAAGCCGAACAAAGAATTTATATATTTTTAAGCTTTTATTTGAATGATATTTTGTAAAATGAAATATTAGATTCTGAAGAAAATTTACACTTTTAAAACTCCGCATCATTTATTTTGTTTAAAATATCAACTCAAATTGTGATGAAAACAACTAATACGATTTTGTAAAGGCATGTAAAGGAATTTTATGGGTAGTAGCAATATTCCAAGAATCATCTTCAAATATTTTCATCAGAGTATAAAAAAGTCTACAGATATGATACCAAAATTGTTTAACTGCATCTATTCTGCTAGAAAAAACTAAACTTCATGAAATAATTTGAAAAAGTGATATAGTTTCATAGGAAACTTTACTACTTGTCACTTGCCTCCGCCCCCCTAATTAGAGTACACAATTTGTAATATCACCAATAGATTCATTAAAATTACTTCAGATGTAATCTTTTGTAAATTTATGTCCATCGGTTACGTAGATCATGGAAAAAAAGATCTTTTAGCTTTTTTTGGCTCACTTAGGAATCATTTCTGAACATAGGTCTTTAGTTTTTTTTTTCTTCCTTTGACGTAGGAGACCTGCCCCCAAAATCTTTCAATATTTTTTCCGGACATCTGGACCTCCAGTATGATGACTTTCTCTGCATATTGTGTTGTAGTTTGTTTTAAATTATGTTTATGTATTTTAATTTTTTTGCATCTTTTGTTGTTTGAGTAATTCAATTTTTTTATTTATGATTTTATTAAAATTTGTTGCTCGTCTGGCGCTCCCTGTATATGTATAGCGCTCGCGTGCGCCGCACGCCCTGCACCCCCGCTTGTGGCGGCCCTCTTCGAAGTAAATCGATGTAATCTAAGAACAACCCTACGAGTAAATTTTTTTTCTTGACCACCATCGTGTAGAGCATATTTTTATTCGTTAGAATCCAAATTTTTAAAATAATAAACCGATTAGTTTTCAAGATATGCAAAGCTGAATTATATTCAAGACGTGAAGCAATGTTTTCTAAAGTTGGTAGTGAAGAATAATCTTTCGTTTTATTTTTCTTTTCTTTTATTTTATTTCATTTTATATAGACTATAATTAAAGTTTTTTTTGTTTGTTGTCTTCCAATAATTATTTCCACAAACATGCAGTAAAGTAGTAACTACTTCTATAATTAGTTTTACTTAAAAACAACATTAAAATTTTTTACTTATTCACTAGAACAAACTATTTCCTCTTGACGCATTGTCGAGTAATTTCAAAGGAAATGGATTATTGTGGTTGTCAGTATTGTCTCTAAATCGCAGTGCGCGTTTAAATATTTTTCATTAAAAAAAATTATATAATTAAGAATATTTGCACCACTAAACTGGTGGTTAATAAAATCTATTTTAATTTAAAACTGAATCAATAAATTATTCACTGTGAATTACAGGGCTTGTAAGAAGTCCGAGTTTCAAAGACATCCCTTTAAAGCTTTCAGCTTTTCTCGAGCGTATGTGCTTTCCGAGCTTGAGTGTTACGAAGCAATCACGGTAAAAGCTTCCTTCGATAAATGTTTACCACCGATAGCAAGCTGACGTTTTTAAATTATTCAAATGCGTTCAGCATTGTCTTCTTATCACACTTGACTTAAAATAAATCATAATTTCGAACCAAGACGAAAATTTTAAATTATTCACGGTGAACTTCAATTCACACTCAGTAAGTCTGAAAGTTAAATAACCATTTCCCCTCCACTTATCTTTGGAAGTGCGCTCTGGTAAATATTTCACCAGGAAACCCTTTCTAACTGAAATGTTCTCGACATAAATTAATTTCGATATTGCAAATGCGAGTTATTATAGGCAACAAGTTATACAAACAGGATGCGTTTATGTGACTAAGATTGCCGTGTTGTTTGGGTGGTTGTCTATAATAAAGTTAAGGATTTCTTTGGAATATTTTGAACAGTAATATGGGATCAATAAATAGTTTGCGCAAAAGTATAAAATATTTCAAATAAAACTATTAAATCTTTGCTTAAAATTTTGTAAATCTGGAATGCTTTCTTGTCAAAGAATGTTATCTCGAAACTTTGAGAAATTCTTTTGGTAAAAAGTGTTCTCTTCTCACACCACAGCTACTCGAAGAATTTTCCGTTTAATTAAAATCCTTTTTTTCTGTGTTAAAACCTGTTTTACAAGATGCACTTATTTTTGTCTAAATTGGAATTTTTGATTCCAGATATGACATGAAAATTCTTTGAAAAATATTTTAAAAGCAAGGAAATATGTATAAATGGCTGACTCCATGCTTAAAATTCCACATAAATTGTACTTAATGTAAGCAAGAATTTGAAATTTACATGTATTGAAAAAAATATATTGTATCAAATTGCGATGGTATCTTTACAAATTGTTCAAGAAATACATGGGGGCCATTAACTGGATACATTCAGTGGGCATTTATCTATGTGTAAAAAATTGTAGGTAATGGTTTTGTAAAAAATCTCAAATACTTTTAATATAAAATTTACTTACGCAGCCAAATCATTCTACTAAAAACTTTTTGTTTATTGAATTGATTTGTATTTTGCCACGCGATTACATATCATATGTTTGTATTTCCATTAAATTAAAAACAGTTTGAATGCTAGTTTTTGTTAA